CTACAGGCATGCGCCACCATGCCCGGCTAAGTTTTTTTGTATATATTTTTAGTTGGCCAATTAATTTCTTTCTATTTATAGTAGAGACGTGGTCTCGCTCTTGCTCAGGCTGGTTTCGAACTCCTGACCTCGAGCAATCCACCCGCCTCGGTCTCCCAAAGTGCTGGGATTACAGGCGTGAGCCACCGCGCCCGGCCTCTGGGCACATCTTTAACGATGCTCCCTGCCCTCAGCCATCACAGCTTCACCATGCTTCAAGGGCACTGAGCACTTCCCGAGAGCCTATTAGGAGTGATCCCCAGGAGCTGTGAGGCACCTGTCAGCTAACACCTTGGATGACAACTGGCACCTTAGGTGACAGTTAACACCAGCATCAACAAATAGAGAAAGCAGTTCCTGCCCAAGTGGCAAGGAGGTGGGGTGGCCTTTTGGGAGACAGGGCCACAGAAGGGGAGCGTGCCAGCACTGACACTACTGAGGTAAGAGTGTCTGGGTATCCAGAAGGTGCAGTTGCAGCCACAGTGACCAGGGTGCCAGGTGTCTGACCCTAAGGCAAGCCCCTGTCCTTCTGGTCCCATTCTCTTGCATGGAGAAGTGTGTTTGTGGTGTGTGGATGGGGGGGCCTTCTCGGAATTTAGCTGACTGGGGTCCTTGCCTGCCTAAAGCCCTCCCAGAGATCCCCGTTTCCCCTTTTGGACCACCAGGCCGTGAGTTTGGATTGGGTCTCATTCATTTCAATGATCCCAGAATCCAGCACTAACACTGAGTAATAAATGCTTGACATTAATCCTTATTGATAGATGAATGTGTAATTTAGGAATGAATGGGCAAAGTAACAGTGGGGAAGATGGATGGGTGGGTGGTGGGGATGGGTGGTGGAGAGATGGAGGTGAGAATGGCCAACTGATGTTTATGTGTGTGGATAACATAGGAATGTAACATCAGGATCATAGCTGAATACATGGAAGAGTCAGGAATGGAAGAACGACTAGGTAGCTGGATATTGGGGAGGGATGAGTGACTGGATGGGTATGTGAATAATGTGAATAATGACACAATGGTAGAGTGAGTATGTGGGGGGGGTGGATGGATGTGTGGACAATGGTTCTGGAAGAAATTCTGGAAGCATGGTAGAGGGTGGTGCCAGATGGTGGTGAATGGATGGAGGATGGTGGATGCATCTATGTATTAATATGGTGGTTGATTGATGATGAATAGATAAATAGATTCTAGTTTGATAGATGGATATGGATGGGTGTGGATGTTGAATTGATGGATACTAAATGAATCTATAGATAGTGGATGTGAATTGCAGGTAATAGGTGGTGGATGCTTGGTGGATGGATGAAACATGGAAATAGAGGTGGATGGTGGATAAACAGTAAGTGGATGGTAGTAATGGATCTATTCACAGGGAATGGATGGGTAGATGGTAGAGAAATGTTAATGGATATATGATTAATGGGTGGATTAGGAGTGGTAGACAAGGAAATGGTGGCCTTATGGTGCATGGATGGGAAATAGAGGGCAAATAAATGAATGGTTGCTGGCTGGATGAATAACAGGTTGTGCATTGTGGAAGTGTAGTTGGAAGGTGGATGGTGGATAGATAACAAATGATGGATTCTGGATGGATAGGTGATGATTAGGTGATGGATGGATGGATGAGAGTTAAATAGTAGATGGCAACATTTTGGAAAATTGATGCATGAAAGGTGAATGGACAGTAGATGGACAGATGGTAAATGGATGAAAGGTGGTGAGTGGTGTACGGTAAATGGGTGGTTTAATGTACAGATGGGGGAAGTGGGTAGATAGCAAGTGAAGAGTGAATGGATGATGAATGAAGATGGATATTGAATGGATGGTGAATAATGGATGCAGGATGATGCACAAATAGTGAATGGATGGATGCTGGGTAGGTTGTGATGGTGGATGGATAGCGGTAGATGAATGCTCACTCCTGTCTCTCTACTCTGTCCCCAGCACCAGAACAATGTCTGGTGTATAAAAGGCTGTCAATAATGTTTTCTAGAATAGAAGAATGTGGATGAGTGATAGATAGCACTTGGATGGATTTTGGATGAATAGTGAACTAGGGCTGGATGGATGGAGGACATTGTGAAATGGACAATGAATGGGTAGACATGTGGTGGGTAGGGATAAGAGATGGTAGATGGTAGATGGTTGGTGGGTGGGTGGGTGGGTGGATGGATGGATGGAGAGTTGTAGTTCATAGAAATATGAATGGATAGTGGAGGGTGAATGACTGATGAACGATCAGTAGATGGATGAATTGTGGCTGATTGGATGGAGGCTAATGGACAAGTCAGGATAAATGGATGGTAAACAGATGGTACATTGGTGACTGGCAATTAGATATGTGGTGGATGGATATATGAATGGCAGATGGATAGATAGTTGTTAAATGTTTGATGGATACAATGCAAAATTCTACTTAAAAGAAAAAAAAAAAAAAAAAAAAAAAAAAAAAAAATGTTTGATGGAAAGCTGCTACATAGTGAGTGATGGTGGACAGGCGGTGGGTGGATGGATGGTGAATGGGTGTGGGCTGATGGGTGTTTTGTGGTATACTGACACTTGCTGTGAATGCTGGATGAATGCGTGGTGGATGGTGGTGGTTGCGTAGGGAATGGTGACTGCCGATAGATGGTTAAAGGGTGTTGTTGGATGCTCGACGGTGGTTGAATGGTGGAAGGTAGGTGGTGGATTGTGGACAGGATGCATGTGGGGTGCTGATGGTGGATGAAGGATGGCAGATGGTGGTTGGGTGGTAGAAGATTGATGAAGCCATGTGGATGGCAGAGGGTGGCTGGCCTGGGCCAGCTGGATGTTGGACAATCCGTGGTGGATGCCTCATGACAGGAAGTTGGGGACTATGGGGCTCAGAGAATATGCACCTTGGCCTCAAGAGCCAGGCCTGTACACTGGACTGAATGAGACAGATTGTCCCAGCGCTGTTTTGGTCCTTTTCGGTAGTCCGACTAGGGATGAGATGAGAGGGGCACTGTGGGGTGACTGCTCCTCCTGGGGCCCGACTCATTTTGGGGTTTTCCTTTTCACCCCTACCTTCTATTGACCCAATTGGAGGGAGTCCTCTTCCTATGTACGTGGCCCCCCGGAATTCTGCACCCTGAATTCCTGAACCCCAATCGTGAGGCTCAGGGTCTCAAGTTGCCAGGGTCACGTCTTGGGGACTGGAGTGGTGTCAAAGGAAGACGAGGCCAGGTCCTACCTGCGGGCTGGCATTGGGAAGGTGGGGGCGAGGGGCGGCCACAACAGAGGGCGCGAGTGTGAGCCCGAGGCCGCAGAGCGGGTGCGGGGGCGGGACGCGGGGCGGCGCGAGCCGGCAAGCGCAGCCAGGCGAGCGCAGCGCCGGCGTCAGGTCCAGCGCGGGCGGTGAGTGCGGGTGAGACGCGGCGTCGCCCCCTCCCCACCCTGGTCCCGCCGGCCGAGCGTCCCGGCGCGGCCTCAGGGAGGGGGGGCAGGTGCAGGTGGGCGGGAGGGGAGGAGGAGGGGCAAGGGGGAGTTTTGAGGGAGATCGCCCTGGGGAAGGGAGGGCGTGGGGTCCGGCAGATGTGTGTGGGAGCCCCGATGTGCCAGTCTGGCCCTCGACCCTGGGCTCTTGCTCCCTGCCTGCCCCGCGGGCTTGCTCCAGGTGCCGGCTCTATCATCTGGCTCTATCATCATTGCTCTCCCTCCCCGCTGTGTCGTCTCTGGGTCTGTTTCTGTCTTCTCTCTACCATCTCTCTCCTCTCTCCATCTCGAGCTCCGTCTCCCCTTCGCCCCCTCTCTGTGGCCAGCGGTTCCTTCTGCCTCCCCCTCTGTCTCTTTGCCACATCTGTCTGGGGCTCCGAGTCCGCTCTCTGGGGCTCCGTCCTGGCTGCCCTGGGCTCTGCCTAGGTTCCCGGTCCTGAGCCGCGTCCCAGGAGCGGCTTGCCTGAGGGGCAGCCCAGGGAGCAGCGGGTCGCCTGGGCACTTCACAGGCTCTGGGGCCAGGCAGAGCCGCTGGTGGGCACGGCACTGCCCGGAAATGCCTGTGTGTGCCCGTCCTTGCCTTCCTGAGCCTGGGGGCACCTGAGCACGGTGTTTGGTAAAAGAAGCCTTGTTTCGCAGAATAGCAGCCCTCCACCTTTGCTGGGTGGCCCCAGGACCATCCTCCCTGAGCCCCACAGGGCCCGCAGCCATTCCACCCTGCTCTCACTGCTCTCCTCAGGCCCTGTGCCCTTCCGGCACCCCTGCCCCTGGCCTGTGGCCCCTGCCGCCTGCAGGGCTGAAGTTAGATCTCGACCTGCCAGACTTCACCCCATTCCTGTCTCTGGCTGGGACCTGGCCCCAGGGCCCACCTGGCTGGTGCCCGGGACTCTCTTTCCAGTCCTTGCTGTGGGAGCTCTGGCCAGGCCTCCTCACCCCTGTGCCCGGCCTGAGTGGGCACGGCCGCCCGGGGCAGGTGGCGAGTCAGTTCCCCCCTAGCTGTGGGTGCTGAGGCCTGGTGCCCGGTGTGCGGGGTGTGCTCTTGGGGAGGAACTGGGTGCCTTGCCCTCTGGCAGACTCACACCGCCCCTGCTACTCCCCACCTCCTGTCTCAGAAACCCATTTGGGTTGCTTGGACCCTCTGTGGCCTTCCCTGGCTGTTTCCTGCCTCAGCACACACCTGTCCCCTCCCAGCTGGCCTGGCTTCCTCCTGCTCATCCCTCGTGCCTCAGGTCAGCAGACCTTCCAGGCAGCCTTCCTGGGTCTCTCGGGGCTGGGTCCGCCCCTCCCCTCCTGCCCACACCTCCCTGCAGCCCTGGCACATTGTATGGTGCCGTCCAGTGCCTTTTCTGCTGGTGGCCTCAGGCTGGGAGCAGCCATAATTGAGGTCTAGCTGCTGGGCTGGGCTGGGCTGAGGGGCCTGAAGGCTCTAGAACCAGCATCCAGCCCATAGCGGACTCTGCATTCCTGCTCCCTGTCCCTGCACAGCCCGGAGCCCAAGCAGTATGAGCACCTCCCAGCCCGCCACTGCCGTGGCAGAGCCGAGCCCTGCTGAGGGAGCCAGAGGCCCTGCAGGGGAGGTATGTGATTGGGGTCCTGAGGGGACAGGAAGGAGCCAGCTTTATGCCCTGGCCCATGACTTGGGGCATGCCTTGCCTCACTGTTGGCCTCACTTTACCCACCTGGGAGGGGGAGGCGGTTGCTCTTTTATAAACATCTGATAGACAAAGCAATTGAAGGCGCGCTGTCCTGGCTTACTTAGCAACCTCCTGACCTGGGACCCCAGTGATTGTTCCCCAAGTCACACTTCACTCTCTGCTGGGTGAGGCAATGCCGGGGTTCCCTGCTCCCAGCTCCAGTTTTCCTGGGGGTGGGTTGTCAGTGAAGCTAAATATTAAGGCCCCTACACGAGGGTTGCAGCTTTGATATTCTGAGTTCTAGAGTCAGGCCATTCTCATTGTTGGGGAGCAGTGGGGCCAGAGTAGGGCAACCAGCTCGGAGTCACAGAGGGGCCAGCCTGGAGCCTGGGGTTGCAGACACAGCCTCCCTGGCAGGTGGAGAAGTGAGCACCAGGCCTCAGGTGCCAAGCTCTGCTGGCCTGGGCCTCCCTCACCCTTGGGCACACTGGGCAGACGAGTGCCCCTGCTTGGGGTTGGGAAAGAGAATGGCAGGTGGGGAGGGGCTCCAGGATGGGAAGAAGCCTCTGGACTGACTGTGCTATCATGAGGGGTGGGTCCCCCACAGGGTCTAGTCTTGGGGTTGGGCTGGGGTCCCTGCTCTCCTGCTGTCTGAAGCCCATCTGCTGCTTCATTCCACAGATGTCCCAGTCCAGTGACACCTGTTTTCACACTCAGGGTCACCTGCAACTCTTGGTTGAAGGACAGTCTGGGGTGCAGCCCAAAAACACACATTGAAACACACTATTCAGAGGGTTCTGCCTTGGTGGTCCAAGGGCTATTGGGCCAAGTCCCACATCTGCCCTTCCTGAGGCACTTGTGGCCTTGGGGGAAGGTGGGCAGGCACCCAACAGCTGTCCTTCTAGGTGACAGAGGTGGAGGCGGGGAGCTCAAGAAAGGGGGCTCTGCCCGAGCAAAGACATGGAGGGGGATGGTGCAGGCAAGGTAGGGCCACTGGGGACACGGAGGGACAGAGGTCTGCATGGTAGGTAGCACTGCACCTCCAAGGCCTGGAATGGGAGGTGGAGATGCGGAGGGCACCTGGGGGCTTAGGGAGGCAGCCCCCGCATGCTCCTGTGGGCACTGAACAATGAGCCGGAGCAACCCAGAGCCAGCTCAGGTTGCCATGGCAACACCTTCCCAGCTCCTCCGGAGGGAGGAGGCCAGGGGCCCAGCAGGGAAGACCCCAGGAAGGCGCTGAGCAGGCCTCTAGGTATGGCGGGCAGGGGGCAAGAGCTGTGGGCTCACTCCCGGTGTGACCATGGCCTCTGCAGCCTCAGGCTCCAGATGTGAAATGGGATCTTGGGGGCTGAGCCCAGGTGGGTCCTATGGCTCCCCCAGGGAGAGCTGCAACCCCAGGGGCCGAGTGCCCTACCCCTAGTGTTAGGGTGGGGGGAGAGGCCGGGAGCCCTCTCTGGGATATGTGTGGGCACACACACACACACACACACACACACACACACACACACACACACGCTCATGCCAGGGAGGAGCCCTGCCCCTCCTGGCAGGGGAAGGGTACAGGACAGGAGTGGGAGGGAGCAGGGACCAGGGCCTGGCATCGCCCTGACTCCTGCTCACCCTTCCTGCAGGCTGTGGTGGGCACCCGGGAGAAGGGCCCTCGGCTGGGCCAGCGGCTGCCTTCCATCGTGGTGGAGCCCAGCGAGGCGGGGGCCGTGGAGAGCGGGGAGCTGCGCTGGCCCCCGGAGGGTGCGCAGAGGGGGGCTGCTCAGAGCCCGGCTGCTGCTGGTGAGTGCGGAGGGTGTGGAACTGGAGGTGGCCAGGGCCAGAAGCAGGGCCTTCAACCCCCTGCCCACACCCTACCCATCCATGGCCCTTGGAACCTCTGCCTGGGTGCCTCAGCACTGCCTTGACCCCTCCCCCTGTCATCAGCCTACCTCCCACCCGCACAGGAGGTCCCTCATCTGTTCTTGTGGCCCCAGGCCTGGCGCAAGGAGGGTGCAGTGGTGCCTGTGGAACGAATGGCTGCACATCCTCGCCCGCCCCACCCATGGCTTCCTCCCAGCATGCATTGCCCACTAGGGCCTGGAGGGGGAGGAGGGCCCAGGTGTGCATGGCGTGGGGATGGGCCTGCTGGTGGCAGCTCCTGTCCCAGCTGCAGGTGTCCCGTTTAAAGGCTGCAGCTTCTGGGAGGAGGACTGTGGGCAGGAGACAGGTCAGCCAGGGCCAGGCCCGAGGCAAGGGGAGACATCAGGCAGGGCAGGAGGGTCTCTGTGAAGGGCTCTGAGGGCACCAAGGGCTGGGAAGGGGGCATGAGCTGTGCCCTGGGAGGTTTTGTTGTCCCCTGAGGACCCTGTGGGAGTCTGTCCCCTGGTGAAGTCAGCCACAGCTGGGGCTGCTCAGCATCCCGCCTGCCTTCTCCCCATCCCCAGACCGCAGCCCCCAGGGCAGTAGCCTCACTGGCCAGCACCCCCTGCAGCTCAGATAAAGAGGTCTATCCATGCCCATAATGCCCATTTATGTCCAAAGCCCCCTTAACCTCTTGTGAGTTTCTGTCCATGGCCCAGAACAGCATTGAGGCCCCCTCCTTGGGTAAGCACTGGGACTTGGACTCTGGAGAGGTCCCTGGGTCTGCCCTGGACCACCCTTCACTGTGCTACCCCCTTTACTCTGGTGTGTGGGGGCGCTCCTGCTCCCAGAGCCCAGCCTCACCCTCCCTCCCTGGAGCAGCACCCCACCCCTTCTTGTCCCCAGGGGGATGGTGTGGCCCACCCAGCCCTATGCATGGCAGAGGCTCAGTTGGGACCCCTGGGATCTGCACAGGATGTAGCCCCCCCAACATGGAGGCCCCTGTTTCTGCAGCCCCCTCTCCAAGTCCACCAGTAGCATCAGGGAAGGCTGCAGATGATGCTGGCTGCAAGTGTGCCAGCCTTGAGGACCAGGCACCCCTGGCCCAGTGAGAGGACAAGGACATGGCCAGGCTCTGCCCTCCGACTGCTGAGAGGGCCTCAGCCCCAGGACGGCGGGGCTGATGCACAGAGAGGACCTGACCTGCCCAGACACCAGCGGGCAGAGCCAGCAGCTGCTTCCTGTGTCATTGGGTCTGTCCAGGCCTGCAGCCCTGCCCTTTCTTGTCCACGGCCCAGGTCTGCATCACACCTCTCTTCCTCCCTGGTTTGAAACAGAAATAAAGGCACTTCCTGGTGGCCAGTGGGAACTCACGGGCCTGATGACAATTTTGGTTCGGCCAGTGGCCTTCTGGGAAAGGGATTCAGCTTGGAACCAAGGCTGACCAGTCCAGAATGCCAAGTGGGTGACTACGTGGGTGTTGGCACTGGGGGTGGGGAGTGGTAGGGTGGGCAGGGCTGAGATGGGCCCAGTCTCCAGAGGTGAGTCTGCCCAGTGGCTGTGACTTTCATTCCTCTCGTGCCTCTGTCCAGGGACCCTCTCTCTGCTTGGCCTTAGCCAAGGCTGCCCAAGGCAGGAGCAGCCTCCTACAATGGCCTCCCCAGCCCTCCTTGAGGCCAGAGCTGGACCCTGATGGCAGGATTCCTTCCTGCGACTCCCTACCCTGGGTGCAGTAGGGCACAGGGATGGTTCATGGGGTGGGGTGCCCTGTTCCATGTTGGAGCTCATTAAATCCTTGCAAAAGTCCCATTTTATAAATGAGGAGACCAAGGAGCAAAGTGAAGTGCCCAAGGCTAGTCTTGGCCAGGCCTACAAAGGCTGGGAAGCCACCACGCTGGCCACAGAGCCCACAGGGGAGGTTGAGTGGGCAGGCACCTCCTCCTGCCCCATGTGAGGGTCCTGTCCCTCCAGGGGCCCATCCACTGTCTCTGGGCTTTATCCCACTGCTCCAGGGGATCCTTGCTGCCTGGTCAGGGCTGGCATGGGGGCAGAAACCTGACTGTGGCCCAGGCCCTTCCCCAGGTGTGTCACACTCCCTCCCAGCCTGGCCCTGCCTTGGCCTGCCAGAGGAAGGGGGTGTGCGGAGGCGTGGGGGCTGTGTGGGTTTACTCTGTAAGTGTTAGCTCAACGAAGTGCTGTTCTTTCTGGATGCCTTGCTAACCTCCAGGATGAATAAGGCACTTTCTCCAACCCCCCTTCCTTCTAAAAATAGCCCCTGCCCCCCAGGTGCCGGAGAGGTGGGAGGAGAGGTGAGGAAGTTTGCCTGGCAGCCTGCTTTAATTTTAAACCTATAGGCCCTGTGGGCCGGGGACACGGACACTGGATGTCCCCGTGGGCCGTCCTCTGTCCAGGTTAGGAGGGGTGTTGGGCGGTCCTCCTCCAGCCGGTCACCGGAGGGAGCCAGGGAGGTGGGATGTGGGGCGAGGGGCCCCGCACGCGGGCAGTGTGGGTGGGCGAGGGTGCTTTCATCCTCCCCGCAGGCCTCGGAGGCGGGCGTTACTCTACCCATTTAAACACGACTTGCCCAGGGTCCCACAGCTACCAGCGACACCACACGGAGCGCGCCATCCCACAGGGCAGCTCCGGAGGTCCCAGCACCCCGCCGTGCCCCTGAGCGGGGGTGGGAGGGCAGACGCGCACGGCTCGGCCCGCCCGACTACAGCCTCTCCAGCCGGAGCAAGCACCGGGGTAACCGCGGGGGGCGGTGCCAGAGACGCCCCGCCCCTTGGCGGCCCCGCCCCTTTCCAGAGGCCCGCCCCCAGTACGCCTGCTCCGGGAATCATCCTGCGGCTCCCCCTGGTGTCGCCTGGGTCACGGAGAGAACCGACGTCACCGCCAGGGGCGCTTCGGAGGCGGCCACCTGAGCATGGCAATATGCGCGCAGAGCGAGGACTGCCACCTGCGCGCCGCCAGCCAGGGGCAGAGCGCGGAACCGGGAATCCTGCTCTCACACTGCGCGTCAGCCTGGCCCCGGCAGCTGTGCACGCGGAACTTGCCGCCTCTGGCATCCTCATTCTGGGTGTGACAGTCTGGCCTCCAGGGAGCCCCGAGGTCTGGCGAGCATCTGGTGATGAGGGTCCTTCTCCCTGCCCTGCGCGACCTGCGAGCCAAGTCCTCAGCTAAGGTGAACCCATTCGAGGCCAACAAACTAAATTTATGGAGGAGCAAACTGAGGCTCAGGGCCAGAAGTACGTCTCCAAGGTCACCCAGAGCTGGGCGGTGCTCTGTGCGCTGGCTATGCCTCTCCCTCCAAGGCCCCCCTGCTCTGCCTTCTCCTGGCAGCCTGCTGGCGCCCCCAGACCAGCCCTGTGTCCTAACCTCTTCTGAGACAAGACTGGGACTTTTCCAAAGGGATTTTACTGAGAAAGCTGGGGAACACCATGGAAATGGAATGAAAGAAACATTGTAACCTCATGGTGAAAAGTGGGCATGGGGTGCCGATGGAATTGGGGGAAGTCCAGGAGCAGTCCTCCAGGCCCTGGGCACCACCAGCTTTTCAAGTGCCTGTGTTCTGAATGCAGGTGACCCATAACTGGAAGTCCCAGGACTCTGACATGCCCCATGAACTGGTGGGCAGGGGGTTCAGATCTAGAAGTCCTTGGTGTCTGCCAGGGCTTGGCCCATGGGAAGACCCAGTCCTGAGGGCCAGAGACCTGGGACACAGTCCCAGCCTCTTTTGCCAGCTGTGTGGACACGGGCAGGTCGCTGAGTCCTGGGCAGCCACCTTGGGCCCCCTGCTCTGTCTCTTGAGTTGTGTGTATTCCCTGTCTTCTCTCATCTCTGACTGTTGGGGACACATGGGATGGGAGGTGGCCCAGCCAGACAGAGCTGAGAGGAATGGCCACTGGCCCGCTGGGTGCTGCTAGGGCTTGAGCTGGGACTCTTATAACCCCACTTCACAGAGGGAACCCAGGGCTCAGGGGGCTAAGGACTCAAGTGGTTGACTGGAGGGCTTCCTGGGGGAGGTGCTGGCATCTTTGGGCATAACTTGGCCCATCTGAAGATGGTAGTGGGTGTTGCAGCATCTCAGGTGCCTTCCAATCTGCTATGGGCCGAACTCTGTTCCTGCAAAATTCGTATGTTGGGGTCCTTAACCCAGTACCTCAGAACGTGACCTTATTTGGAAATAGGGTTTTTTTGTTGTTTTTTTTTTTGAGACAGAGTCTCACTTTGTTGCCCAGGCTAGAGTGAGTGCCGTAAGCCTAGCTCACAGCAACCTCAAACTCCTGGGCTCAAGCAATCCTTCTGCCTCAGCCTCCCGAGTAGCTGGAACTACAGGCGTGCGCCACCATGCCCGGCTAGTTTTTTCTATATATATTAGTTGGCCAATTAATTTGTTTCTATTTATAGTAGAGACAGGGTCTTGCTCTTGCTCAGGTTGGTTTGGAACTCCTGACCTCAAAGGATCCGCCCGCCTCGGCCTCCCAGAGTGCTAGGATTACAGGCGTGAGTCACCGTGCCTGGCCTGGAAATAGGGTCTTTAAAGAGGCAATATGTTAAAATGGGGTCATTAGGGTGGACCCTAATCCAATATGAAGAGGAGATAGGGACGCCGGCACACGCAAAAGGAAAGTGGCATCCGCAGGCAAGGAGAGAGGCCTCAGAGGAAAGCAACCCTGCTGCCCGGGCCCCCAGACGTCTGGCCTCAGAGTGTGGGAAAATAAACCTCTGTTGTGGGAGCCACTTGGTCTATGGTGCTGTGTGACAGCAGCCCTAGGACAGTAATGCACAAGTGTCATCTCTGCACTCCTCCTCCCCTGCCTGTCTTACGCGGGTGGCCCCACCCAGGCTGGGGCAGGCCTGGCTCTGTTCTCCTTGGACTTTCCCTGAGTTCCTTTCCTCGGACGCTGGCAGTGGAATCTCCCCTGCAGGGGTGGCGGCTGCCTCTTCTGGGAAGTCTCAGTGACCCTCTGCACAAATGTCTCCAACCCGATCCGCTGTGGGCGGGTCAGGCCCCCCTCCACACCTGTGCTGTGGCGCTGCCCGGAGCCCCGAGCCCAGAATGCTGTCCCTCCTTACTCCTGAGTGTGCTTCCCCTGTCCTTTGGGACCTTCTCCCTTCCTCCAGCTCCTGACACCCTCAGGGACAGCTTATGGCTCACAGCTGTTTCCCGCCTGGCACCATGACCTCCCCAGACAAGGCTGAATCTCTGCTCCTCGGCTCTCAGCCCCAGGCGGTGAACTTGACGGGCCTGCCCGGTACTGGAGCCTCTGCCCTGGAAGAAGGAGTCCGGGGGTCCTTCTGGGCTCAGGCACTGTGGGTTGGGTGTCCCCGCCCCACCACCAGGCCAGTGCCTGTCCCCTCTTCCTTCCCTCCACCTCTGATGGAGGAGGGGCTGGCCATTGTGAGTAGCTCCCAGCAGTGCCCGCCCCCCTCCCCCAAGCCCCCCAGGGCTGTCCTCCCCATAGCTCCTCGCAGGTGGTCCCTGACCCTCAGCCTGAGCCCCGAATTGTCAGGAGTCAAAGGTTGGAGTGATTGCCTCTGCGTGAAAGGGGTGGGGCCTTTTCTGAAAGTGAAAGCCTGGGCGGGGAGGGAGGGTGGGGCTGGGGGTGGGGCTGGGTTGACCTGGCAGGCGCTGACCAGGGCTGGGAAGTCCCAGCTGTTGGTCACTTGCTTGGGCTGCTCTAGAGGCCCCATGGCCTGGGCCAGGCTCTGAGGACCCCACTGGGCTGCCGCTTCAGGGGGCTCCGTTCTGCCTGGGCCCAGAGGCTGACCGCTCAGCAGGTATGTTCAGGGCAGGTGGAGCAGGAGGTTAGAGGGTGCTGTGGGCAGTGGGTGGAGGCTCAGGGACTGTGGACTATTCCAGTTCTGCTAGTGGTTTTGCAGACTAAGGCCTTCGGCTCAGAGTCCAGGCTGACTAGGCTAGAGTGCCAGCTCAAGTCACAGTGGTCACACACACACACGCACGCACACACACACACACACGCAGAAAGCACATACAGACACACAAGACGTAAAGACATGCATGCAGACACAGACACGCACGTGGACAGGTGGAGAGAGCCACTCACAGACCCTCCGAGGCACACGCTTGCTGGAACAGAGTCACACACATACAGGGAGACGTGCAAAGCTGACACACACAGGGCATGCAGACCGTGGGCCCACACGCACATGTCAGGTTCACTTATCTATTTTCCTTAGGCACCTGCTGTGTGTACTAGCTGTGACTGGGGGCTGGGTCAGGCTTGAGGGGGTCACTCCCTGCCCTGGCGTCTCCTGGTCATAGGGAAGAGACATCTCAGGCCCTGTAACTATCCCTCACTGGAGGCAGCAGGTGTGCCCGTGGCTGGGACCAGGCCCAGAGCAGGAGGTATGGGGCTCAGCCTTCCTGGTCAGGGAAGGCTTCTTGGAGGAGGAACCACTTCCACTGAGCCTTGAAGGAGCTGGCAGCTAGAGAAGGTGGGGCTCAGGTCACCGCAGGCAGGCAGCAGCCTGTGCCAAGGTGTGGAGGAGAGGTGAGTGCTTCGGAGAGATGAGAGTGGGTGAGCAAGTAGGGGATGAACTGGAGGGGTTCATCCTCCTTGGCCTTGAATGCCAAGCCAAGGAGGAACCTGAGCTGCTTCTGAGGGCAGTGGCAGCCCAGGAGGGCTTTGTGTTTCCTTGCTACTGTGAAGGGAAGCTTTTAAGTGTCTTTTCTCCAATAGGCTTTGCTGGGGTATGGGGGAGCTATTGATTATACGTGCATAATCCGCATACGAAACTTACTAAACTCTTTTGTTAGCTTCAGTAATTTTCAGTCTCTGATTTTCTAAGCAGACAATCATATCACCTATGAATAATGACAGTTTTATCTGTTCCTTCCCTATATTTATACCTTGCATTTATTTTTCTTGCCTTATTGCCTTAACTAGTTCTTCCAGGCAAATGCTGAAGAGTAGTAGTGGGAACTCACATCCTTGCCCTGTTCCTTGTTTTCAGGAGAAGACTTGTAGCTTGCAAGGTTTTAGAGGAGGTTTGTGTTTGGGCAAGACCCTCCTGACGGCTCCAAGGAGATGGCATCCAAGCAGTCTGGGAAGGAAAGCAGTTAGGAGTCTGTGATCAGGTGAGGGTGGGTGGCAGGTGGGGAGGTAAGGCGGGGGACATAGGCCTGCGCAGGGCACAGCCCGGGTACAGGCAGTCACCTGCCTGCAGCAGCTGGTTTTAAGCTTTGAAGGCTGGGGTGAAGGCTCAGTGCCAGGGTGGCTGGGGAGGCTGGGGAGCGGGTGAGCACTGAAGGAGACTTGGAGGACAGAGGGCTGCTACAGGAGGGAAGGTCTAGGAAAAAAGGGGGTAGGAGCTGGGGCTGGGGCCAGGGCTGCGGAGGGTGGAGGAAGACATCCAGGCCTGATGTCTCGGACACAGCCGCAGTGGCCCAGCTGGGAGTTCCCAGTGCCTGTGTCTTCTGGGTGGCATTCCTGCCTCTACTGCTGGCCCTGGAATGGGCGTATCCACCTGACCCGGAGAGTGTGGGGCCCGGGCTCAGGCTGGGCCTGGGTCTCCAAGGCCTTGGAGGTCAGCCAGCTCTAAGCCCCAGCCAGGGATCTGCAGCACAGTGGCCGGGGGCTCCCTGGACACTCAGGGCAACAGGGGTAGGGAGACAGAGAGAGAAAGAGAGCCAGAGAGTTTCCATGGATGCGGGGAGGCAGGCCCAGGGGGGAGGCCAAGTTAGAGATGAGGGTGGGGGTGAGGGTGGGAGGGGCCAGCGGGTCTCAGCCTAGCAGGCACCTGCGTGGCACCTGTCCCGCCAGCCAAGCAATACTTACACCAGGAGTTCACCCCTCTTTCAGGCTGCACTCTGGGTGACGGGGAGGGGTAGACAGACAGAGGCTCCCAGGCCCGTGCAGGAGGGCCACATTACCACAAGGACAGTCCCCGGTACCCCCTGACAGACAGATGGTGAGGGCCGGGGTGCATTGCAGCCTTTGGACTCCTTGGAGGTGGGGGTACCTGCACCCCAGGTCTGGAAACCTAGGTCAGATTTGGAGAGCAAGGATGGGAAGGCCAGGAGGGGGAGAAGGCAGAGGGAAGCTGGGGGACTGGCCACTCAGGGGGACGGAGAGGAGGCACATGAAGCTGGACTGATCACGTCATCCCTGAATCTCAGAGGTGGAGCCAGTGAAGCTTCGCCCCTGAGGTGAGGGCGGGGAAAGGTCGGGGCAGGCAGGGAGGGCTTTGGGTGCTGGGCAGTGGGGAGCCCTGGAAGGGTCTACAGCAGGGAGTGGCCTGGGCGGACATGTGCTTTGGGAAGGGCACCAATACCTTGGGAAGCTGCTGGGAGCTGCAGGGTCAAAAGTGGTGTAACTGGAGGATGGGGAGCCATCTGGGGGCTTTGATGGCCTGGTTTGGGACAGGGTAGTAGAGCAGCGCGGCCCCCAAGCCCCTGCCTGTGTAACCTCCTAAGAGACTCACTGCCCAGCTGCCTCTCCTTACCCCTGGGCTTCCTGGGAAAGCACATCCATGTCTGACCCTACACTGGGACCTGCTACCACCTTGGGTCCCTCGACCAGGAGAAGGGGCTCCTTGCGCGGCAACCCTGACTCCCTGGTGCTTGGAGACACAGGCAAGCCCCCCTCCCGTACCCACCCCGAGCTGTAGGGTCTGAGGCAGACCCTGCCCCTCACCCAGCCTTGGCTTCCTCATCTGCGAGTTGGGGCAAAGGACATCCCATCTTTGTTGCCATGGGGAGCTGGTCTGTGTCAGGCATTGGGCTGGGCACACAGTAGGTGCTTACTAAGTGTGAGCTCTCCCCAGCCAAGGCAGGGCCTTTCCCCCACGTCCCCCGGGACAGCACTAGCCAGAACTTCTTCACAACGCCCCAGGCCAGGTGCTGAGGGGCACCGTGGCGCCAGAGGGCACTGGAGGCCGGGACAGACGGCTCCCTGCGGCTGTGGCAGGCTCCCTGAACCCTGAGACGCCAGGGGAGGATGGACGATGACCTGTGGCCAGGGTGGGGCTGATAAGGCCCTCATCAATCACCTGGGTCCGGGCTCCCTCAGTGGGGCATGCTTCCAGCTGCCCTGTCGCCTCTGGGAGCCTTGAGGAAGGTAGGTCTCCGCTGACCCCGACAGATGCCTCGCTGGAGGCGGGGGTGGGGAGGTAGGGTCTGGGCAAACTGAGGCCTGGGGAGCAGCAATTCCTGCCCAATGTCACCAAGGGGTCAGGTGCTGGCTCCAGCCCAAGATCTGTCCTGACACCTAGGGGGAGCCCTGAGGTCTGGCTGGGGCTCTGCCTCCAGGTGGTTTGTGATTTCGGCAGGTCCAGCCCTTCTTTTGGCCTCAGTTTCTCTGAGGGTGAAGTGAGATCTCTCGGGCCTGATCTCCTCCCCCCACAGCCCACTTTGCACAATGGGGTGGGCGGGAGATCCCAGCAGGCAGCGGGGCAGTTTCCCTCCTCTCTCCCTGCCCAGCTTAGCCTAAAGCCAGAAAAGCAAACACGGCCAGGTTCACTCAGGCTGGGAGGGGTGTGGGGGAGGCTAGCAGGGGCCTGGGTGCTGTGGGCCCGGGAAGGGCAGCGGTAGCTTCAGGTGAGCACCCCCATGCTCTTGGGACCCACCACTCCTTGTGGGGGAGGGCCGGAGCACACTGTGGTGCTGTGCTGGAGGTGGGGGTGGAGAGGGGGAGACTCAGTGGGTGGGAACCCCCCCAGCCCCTGGTTAAATATAGACCCGAGGCCCCTCCCCTGTGGGCTGCAGGGCCATGATAAGCCACAGGCTGGCCTGGCCTGTGCCCTCAGGCCCTGCTCTGCCTCCTTTCAGCTCTGCAGCACCCAGGGAAGGGTGTCCCCGAGGAGGGGACCCAGCAGAGAGCAGGGAGCAGCCCTCCCCTTCGAATGGAAGTCGTCGGGCCTTTTGGGCTGGAGTAGGGTGAGCTGAGGGCTCTGACGGGCGGGGAAGGGGCTGAGGGGGATGGTGGGGGGATTTAGGCCTCAGGCTGTAAAGTCCGGGAAGTCCTCGATGTGGCTGGGCCCTGCCCTCGGGTGTTGTGAGCTGTGGCCCGGAACCCAGAACCTGCACTCCCCCTCCAGCTCTGATGGGAGGGGAGGGTCTGGCCTGGCCGGCGAGTGAGGGGTGGGCACCGCAGGGGACCCTGTTTGGGGGGTGGTCTCAGAGAATGCTCCCGAGGGAAGTAGCTGTCTATACCTCAATGCCCAGCTGCAGCCTGGCACATAGAAGGTGCTGGCCAAGAACGTTGCCTGGTGACACTTCCTTTTTGGCAGCCTGAGGGTTGCCTCTTCCAGGAAGCCTTCCCTGACCAAGTCCCACAGGCTGGCACGGGGTTTTGTGTCTGCTCCCTGAGACTGGGCCTCCTCCAGGCCTCCAGAGCCTCCTTCTCAGCCACAGCTCTCCCGCTGCCAAGATGCCGTCACCGCAGACAGAGACCTTTGGGCCGGAGCCACAAAGCCCCAAGGAGCCTGTGGAGCCGCAGACACCAGCTCGGGGCTCCCGGCGGTCGAGCAGCGGGAAAGAGCCCAGTGCCCATCATGAGAACGCCATGAGACCGGGCCTGGGCACCTTGAGGCGTGCCTTGTCCCGGGCAAGCCAGCGGGCCGTGACCCAGGCCACCAAGGAGGACGCGGGCCTGCTCTGGCGAAGCTCCTGCTCCCTGTTCCGGTCCTTCAGGCGTGCCCTGGATGAGGGCCCAGCTGCTGGCCAGTCCCAGGTCGCTGCTGTGCCAGAGGTGCCCTCGAGGGTCATGGATGGTGGCAGCCAGCCTGTATCCCCTGGGCTGGGGCCTAAGGAGCTGGAACCCGAGGCAGGTAAGGGCCTCACAAACAACACTGAGAGTGAAAGGAAACTGAGGCCAGAGGGTGGAGCAGCTGAGCCAAGGCTTCCTGCAGGATCTCCTCCCAAGCTCCCCCAAACCCTGCCCCTGGCCAATGGCATTCTAAATTCTTCTAGCATCTCAGCCAGGGGAGCCCCCACTGGGCAGAATGAGAAAAGTGAGGTTCACAGAGGTTAAGCAACTTGCCTCCAGTCTCACGGCCAGGAAGTGGAGCATGGGCTTTGAACCTACATCCACATGACTCTAGAACCCTGTCCTCTCCCTGGCCTTTCACAGCCTGGCTCCTAGTCAAACTAGGATGACGCTCAAGGCACTGGTATGCTCTGATCACAGGGTCTCAGAGGTGCAAGGGGGCCATGTTTGCCTGGAGGGGAGCTCAGGGGCGCTGCCCAGAGGAGGATGCATTGGAATTGGGCTCCAAAGGGGGGCTGCAGGTAGAGGTTGAGGGCTGGGGGGGGGTAGAGGCTGGCAGAGAGCAGGGAGTGGCAAGAAATGTTGAAGCTGGACACGGGCAGGAGCCTTGCAGGACACGCCCAACCTGAGCTCTGACCCTATCAGACCCGAAATCAGTGCTGCACAGGAGGCCGCAGGTCAGCTCAGCAGAGCTGGGGGTGGGGATGGGAGCAAGCCAGAAGGTAGGGAACAGGGGTGGGGAAGGAAGGGGCAGGGGTGGGAACCTATGGCTTTGGGGCCACATGTGGTCTTCTGGATCCTAGAGTGCCACCAAATCCAAACTTTGTGGAATGAAAGGAATGTGTTCTGGGAAGTTTGGATTCCATTGAGGGGCCACACTAGGGGATCTGGAGGGCCACCTGTGGCCTTGAGGCCATAGGTTCCCCACCCCGGATGGACTGGACCAGGGCCTTTCCGATTGGTGTCCAGGGTGGTCTCTCTCACCGGCCCCTTTCTTGCCTGCCCGTACAGGACGCAAATCTGTGGCGGACCTCATTACTGAACGGCAACTGCTGGCAGCCTTCGAACAGCTTCAGCACCTAGAGACAAGGCTGGTGACTGAGAAAACCTCGCACACCTTTGAACAGGACCCTACGGCCTTTGCGCGGCGCGCCATGGACGTGTGCCTACATTACGACGGGCTGGCAGCCGAGATCGGCGCCATTGTGCGCGAGACGTTGGGATCCGATGGCGTGGACGCGGCCGCGCTGACCGAGGTGGCCCGGGTGGTGCGCGCCGAAGAGGAGGCCCACCCGGCGACCCCAGCCGACGGAGACTTCCTGCGCACGCCCCGCCGCTGGCGCCAGCACTGGGAGGAGGCGGTGCAGCGGAGCGCGCAGGAGCGCGTGCAGCGGGCGGGCGCGGGCGACACCTCTGGGGAAGTGGAGGGCGCGCCCGGCCTGGCTCAGCTGCTGGCCCAGCTCGGTGGCTTGGTTCGCCACGACCTGCAGAAGGTGCTGCTGGAGGTGCAGCCCGCGTACGCGGCAGCCGGCTTTCCCGCGTGGGAGACCTACCTGAGCGCCTTCCATGGCTCGGTGGCCCAGCGACTCCAGGAGCTGGCGAACGACGCCCACGGCTGTGAGCAGCTCTACCTCCTGCTGGACTGGGCCGCCAACGTCTACGGCAGGTGAGCATCAGCCAGGGTGCCACGGGGCCAGGAAGGGCTGGCACTGCCCACCCAGGAGGCCTCCTTGGATCCACTTTAAGGACCACAGGGCACCTTTCTTCTTCAGTACCTCCATGCGAGGAGGGCTGAGAACCGGGAACTTTATTTTAGGCGGTGGTGTGCTCTTGCGCCCCAGGTTTTCCTAAGGGGCCACCCATGCACGGTTGCCCAAAGTTGGAAAGCCTCTGCAGGTGGTTCCCGTTGGGGCAGGAAGCCCAGCTAGAGACCCTATGGGGGTCCACAAGGTGTCTTTGGGCGAATTAGAAAAGACACCTCTCCAGACAGGACATAGCCACGGGCTCTGGCTCTTGGTGTGGGTGCACCCCCACTTCCCCTTTGGCCAGGCATGGAGGTTCACCGTGCAGCCTGCTGGGACGTCCACCTCCAGCTGTGCACGGCGCGATGAGGGCGGATTACTAGCGCTGTGAGCACTCCGCCTGCAGAAGGAGTTTTGCCTGAAGGCCTGGGCTCCTTCAACTGCTGTGCCTCCCCGCCCCTCTCTGGGGCTCCCTAGTGTGGGTTCGATGGTGGCTGGTCCTTGAGCTGTGTGGAGTTTGGGAGGCGGGGCGCCTAGAGTCCCGTTTTGGATGCAGAGGTCACCACTGAGGCAGTCTGGTGAGGTCCGTCTAGACAGCCGTCCTTACACGGTCTGTGCATGCTGGGCTGGCTGCTACAGTGCCGGGAAAGGCAGCATTCAGAAGCTTGAGGAGGTGGTGTAGACCTCTGGGGGCAGGGGTGGGGGTGTGAACAGAAGCCCAGGGCCCTGCGGTGATGGCCTTAGACTTTGAGCCGGGGGTAGGGGTGGGGGTAGCGTCTGCCGCATCAGAACCCCCCCAGGCCCTCAGCGCCCCGCCCTGCCTTCCAGCCCCAACTTCCTGGGCACCCCAGACCTGGCGCTGCCCACGAAGCCGCTGCCCCCGCTGCTGCCCCCGGACGTGTGGGCCCGACTGGAGAGCGACTACACCAGCTTCCTGGAGGTGAGGAGGGCGGCTGGGCTGGATGGGCGGTCCCGCTGGGATGAGGTTGCGCTGCTGGCCTTGGCTGGTGCGCTTGTAACCCGACCCTGCGGCCTTCGTCCCTGGGGAGCAGGACGGGTTTCAGGAGGCAGGAGTCGTCCGGGCTCCTCCCGGGGAGTGCCTCACCGCAGCCCCCTCCTCCCCAGACCAAGATCGCAGGCTGCTTGGAGAGCATCTTGCAGCTGGAGCGCAGTCGCTGGGCGGCCGCCGAGGCCCCCGACGTGCTGCAGGGCCTCTACCGCGCGCCGCTGTCCGTGGACGTCCACATGGTTCGGCCGGGAGGGCTGAGAAGGGGCTGTGCTATGTTCGGGCCTCAGGCAGGCCGGGCGGGGGACACCCAGAGCTGCCACACTCAGCCCTAAGCGCCCCTCCCCCGAGGCCCCACGTGAGAAGAGATAGGGGATCTCCCGCGCCGAGAGGCTGGTGGGCCGGGGCTGCGGGGAAGTTGACCAGGTCGGGGCCACTGAAGGCTGGAGCCGAGACTGCGAGGCAGAGCGGGTGGGCTGGGGACGTCGCGGGGCCGCCAGGTGGAGGACTGTGGGCTTCGGGTCAGGGACTGGGCGCGAGCTCAGCGTGTGGCCTCGTCGCAGCTGGTGGCCGAGCACGTGAAGGCGGGCGGCGCCATCTCCGCGGAGCTGGAGGCCACCACCCTGCGGATCTGCGCGCGGGCGCTCGGCCTCTTCGTGCCCAGGTGCGGGGCTTCGGCCGGGGTGGCGTCAGTGAGGCGGCGGGGCGGGCCGTTTGCTGGGAGAGGTAGATCCCCCGCTCTGCAGGTGGGGGAGGGGCGCGTCGTCGCAAGGCCCGGAGTCGGGGAAGGGGCCCGGGGCGCGGAAGGGGCCCGAAGTCCTCTGCGTGCCCCGCCCCCAGGTTTGAGAAGGCTTTCCTGGAGTCGGGGGCGGCGAGCGAGCCGCACCTGGGCTCCTACATCAACGCCTGCCAGGAGCTCAGGTGAGTCTCCCGCGCGGGGCCGGCGCGGCCGGCAGGGGGCGCGCGAGCGCCGGGAACGCGGGCGGGGCGGGTGGCCGGCGTGTGTGTCCCCGAGGCCTGGTGCCTCCCGCAGTGTGGACTTGGGCAGGCTCTCCTGGAGGCAGGACCGTCCCCTTTCGCCGTCGCCCCAGCGGTGCTGTCCTTCAGCGGAGCCCAGGCCCTGCAAGGGGCGCGGGGAGGGTTTGGAGGCCGGGCGGAGACCTAGGAGCTCCAGCTGCCCTCCTCCCGGCCCCCGCCCTGGGCCCCATTTCTCCCTGGTCTTCATCCCAGCCAGGCTTCTTCCTTCTTTGGGACACCTCTCCCCTGGGAAGCCCTCCCTGACACCGCGCCCTGGGCTATGCTGGGCGTAGGGTCTAGGTCCCTCTGACCCCAGAAGGTAGAAGCCCTCCCCATGGGCGGGCAGTGGCTGTTGGCCTTCTGTGCCCTCCAGCCGGGCCAAGCCTCAGTGTCTGCCCCCACCTCCTCCTGCAGACACCAGCCGTGAAGGCGGCCACAGGGCACAGACTCCCCGCTCCCCGTCTGGGTTCAGATGCCAGCTCTGCCACTTGCTGGCTGAGTGCCCTGGGACAAGTCGCTTCACTTCTTGCCTCTTTCCTCATCTGCCCAGCGGGATCAGAGCACCTGCTCCCTAGGGCTGAGTGGGGACTCGGTTCCCATTGGCTATTTGCGAGCACCCGTGATGTGCCAGGCTCTGCTAGCCTTACCTGTGTGACGCGTTTATCCCAAGTGCAGTGTTCCCGGCACAGACGGGAAAGTGGAGGTCTAGAGAGGAAGTGCCACTTGTCCACAGTCAGGCAGCCAGTAAGCGGTAAAGCGGGACTTGGGCCAGGCTTGCCCGAAGCCAGCACGCGACTGTGACGAGGCACTGCCTCTCTAACACTCTCTTGTGCCTAGTCTGCGCCAGGCCTGTCCTTGGCACTGGGGACCCTGGGGTTTGAGCCCCAGGGAGCATTGTTTGTCCCTCGGTAGGCACCCTCTGTCCCAACGGCTGACGGAACTTCAGCCTGCCCTGCTGTGTCCCTCGGCTGTTGGGACTGAGCATAGCCTTACCCTCAGTTTCCCCATTAGTGAAATAGGGCATTGTCACTTTCGGGGGGGGCAGTTATGAGGCTCAATGAAGGGTCTGTTCCAGGGATGGCTATGTTGCACTGTCCCATCACCAAAAGGGCTGGAAGGTTTGTTCCAGAGCTGCCAGAGAGGAACTCTGCCGTGGAGCTGGGCAACCGCCACTGCACTGACCTATCCCTCTATGATTGGCTCCTGGGGCTTTGGTGCTGTCCCCTCACTTGTCTCTGCTCCCAGGGCTACTACATTGTGCAGCCCCAGGGGCTGCCCTTCACATTATAGTCTAAATGAATGGAGCTGGTGTGGCCCACAGCCTGTGTGGCTGTGCACTGGGCCTTGTTCCCCAGCCTGCTCCCCCTTGCCCACTTCATCACCTATCCTGGCCCCTCACCAGGACCAGTCTTCTGGCCAGGTTCCCTGGAACCCTAGAGGAGTTGGAGAAACCCCTGGTGGCTACCACCTGCAGCTTCCAGAAGCACCTGCTTCAGGGCTTGCAGCGTGACATTCAGGTGAATGGGATGGCCCTTCTCTAACCACTTTCCACGCCCAGTAGGTGCCCCCCGTTCCCTGGAGCCTGGGGACCCAGGTCGCAGCGTTTATTTACCCCACGGGCTGTTGTAGGGGTGTGTGTGTCGGGCAGCGGGCAGTCAGGGGTGTATGTATTTGGGGGGCAGACAGGGCACCCGGATGAGTTCCCCGCTGAGCAGGGACAACTGGGAAATGCCAGCCTCTCACCTCAGTTCCCACCTCTTAGTGGTCAACACCCAAGCCTGGATGGTGGGTCCAAAGAACCAGGCCTGGGACCCTGACCCAGGCCCTCAAGTCTCCCCCTGAGCACACCGTAAGAGGGCCTCACACTCAGACACTCAAGCTCAAACCTTGCCCACTGGAGCTCGGGCCTGGAAGAGGCATGCTGGGAAAGGCCAGTAGCTAGGCAAGGAGGTGGCACCTGGGAACCCAGGAGGGAAGGGAGTCAGGAGTGGTGCCCTGGGCTTTGAGGGAAGGGCTTGGAGGGTAGGGAGTATACATTTGAACACTCCTACTCCCCTGTGTCCCCAGCCGCTCTTCAGGGTCGTGTGCACCAAGGGTTGGCTGACACAGGACACACTTGGTCCCCTCATGGACAAGGTGGTGGCCTTTGCTCACCATCTAGAGCATGTGGCCCAGCCATGGGCTCAGGTACTACAACGGGGAGGGCCTGGCAGGGATGTGCCTGGGGCCGGGGTCATGGGCCGTGGCGCTGACCCTGACCCTGACCCCCTGCCGCCCAGGAGACTGTGCAGGAGGTGCACCGGTATGTGGTCCGCGAGTACCTGGCGCAGGCGCTGAGGCCGCGGGAGCGGTTCCGGGGTGCCGAGCGGGTGAACGGCTCCCAGAAGATGAGCCTCGATGCCCAAGCAATCGGGGACACCTTCCAGGGCTTGGTAGGAACAGCGTCTGACTGCCCCGCCGCGCTCACCTGCACACAGTGAAGCGCCCTCCTGTCATTTCCACTCGGCCCTCAAGACTCAGGGAGTGGCCGTCACCAGGTCCCAGCGGGCAGGGCTTCTGGCTAGCGGTTCTCGCACTGCCTATTGGGCTGAGAGGGGCTGGGCGTCCTGGCCGCTTGGGACGGGACCAGGCGCGCAGGCGGCATACAGTTCATGGCGGGGAGAGGGGGTGAAGGTCCGAGGGTCCCAGCTCTATGTGATGGGCAGAGCTTGTGGGGCCATCTCCCCACCTCCCACCCAGAGCCCTTTGAGCTGAGGCACCCACCACCCCTGCACACATGCCCTGTCTGGTCCGCTGGTCCCCAGTCCGGACGTGGGGGGAGAGGTGACCACTGTGTGCCGGGTGTGCCCGTCCTGCTGTTGGGGAGGTGGGGCGGCAGCAGGGCCACCAGGTGCACTAATGGGGGCCGCAGGCAGGGGCGACAAGCTCCTGGGAGAGGTGGCCCCACAACACACATGTCTGCCTCCGCAGGGCTCTGAGGCCACGTGGCTGGACCGAGCCATCCTGTGCGTGGCTGAGATCCTAGGCGAGACTTGCAAGGACGACATCAGGCGGCACCTGGAGACACTCATCCAGAGCTACCCGGACATCAGGTTCGCCTGCACCTACTGCCCCGCTAGGTCTGGACAGGCAGCCGGGGGCCTAGGGGGCTGGCGTTGGCGCCTTCTGAAGAGTCGCAGTGGCTGCGGGCCGCGGGCGCGGGGGGCAGGGAGGAGCGAGCCTGTCTGGGGGCTGAGGCGGCACATACCTGGGTGCGCAGGAGCCTAAGGACAGCGGGGAGGCCGTCGGAGCAGGGAGGCAGAGGGCAGTGGAGCTCGGCCATGGTAGGGGAGGCTAAGGAGGGACATGCCTCCTGCCCTGGAATCCAAGGGGGCAGGCACAACCTCCCATGAGGAGAAAGCCCTCTCCCGAAGCCCGGAGACTCTGAGATTTGGCCAGGTGGAAGGAGGCTTTGATGGGGGCCTGTTGGGGGGACGGTGAGTCATCTGAAGCCCTTGGAAATCCCAGCTCAGCTCTCTCCATGGTGTTGGAGATTCCAGGATGGGGCGTGCACAGAAAGTCCCTGGTCCAGCCCCTTCCCTGCTCGTGCCAGGTCGGGTGGGAGGGAGAAATTCCCTGTTCCCCAGCCACAGTGACCCCAAGCCTGGGAGCCCTGGGGTTCCCCTCCAGGCTGCTCTGGGTTCCCCAGCTGAGCGCAGGCCCACTCTCCTGGCTCCTGGGACAACACTGTGCCCAGCTCGGTGCTGGGGCCGGGAGGCCGTGACTCCCCCAGCCGCCGTCTCACCGCCTCATCGCCCCTCCCTCACCCCACTTCCCTTTCTCGCCCCTGCCTCTGCACAGGCCTTTTCCCCTGCTGGATGTGCCCCTCCCCGTCCCTGCAAGGTGCCCTTGCGGGCCCAGCTACCGGGCACCCCACCTCCTCTGTCAGTCTCAGCCTGTCTGACCGGGCTGCAGGAATGCTGGGTGACTCACACTTCCTCCCAGCCCAGGGGTTCCCCTCTTCCTGGGCCTGGGGGTGTCTGGAGGTGCTGGGTCTGCAGCGAGGGCCGGTGTGTCTCTGCAGGCGGGACCACATCCTGGCCATCCTGGCCCTGCGCAGGCTGGGCCGCAGGCGGAACCGCAGCCTCCTGCAGCACGCCGGAGACCTGCTGAGGGCGGCAGCCAAGGCGGCGAGCTCGGGGGCCACTGGGGACCGTGTGCTCTTTGAGGAGATCGAGGTGCCCACCTCCGTGGACGTGCTAATCACCTGCATCTAGCGCTCTCTGGCCCGAGAGGGGCTGTCTTCAGGTGGGGGGCTGTGGCAGCCTGGAGCTAGGGGCCCAGAGAGTCACTGTCAGCCCTGCCCCCAACTCTGAAGCCTGCAGTTGGGGAGTTTTTGTCCCCAGCCAGGAAGGCTGCTTAGCCACAAGGAACAGCAATGACAAAGGCATTTCAGGCATCTGTGGGGGAGTGCTTGGGGACAGCAACATTTCCCTTCAATACTGCCCAACGGGGAGGGCCTCCCTGCCCGCCTAACTGCCCAGCACCACCACCCAGTCTGAAAGGGAAGAGTATTTATTTAAAAATAAATGTGAACTAGAATGGCACCTCCTTAAGGAGGGGACAGGGCCATGCTGGCGGGGAATGGGAGGTCCGAGTCCCCATACACCAAAGGGCTGGAAGGCCCTGTGGTGACTCCATTCGGTGGATGGCCCTTTATACCCATTGAACTGATGGGAAGACTGAGGTGGGCCAGAGCTGGGAAGGCCCATGGCTGTGGCTGCAGAGCAAAACAGGTCTTGACCACGGGTTCCTGAGTCCACTGGTCTCGTGTGCTCCCAGGCAGGCCTTGGGCCTCTGTGGGACAAGAAGAGACCAAGGCTTGTTCTGCAGCTTAGAGTATTCGGGTTAGGTGGGAGAGGGACTTCCCGGCAGTGAAAGTTGTGCTGCATGGAGCGTGTGTATGCGGGCATGAGCCTGCAGGTCTCAGCCACGGAGGCGGCTGCAAGGCTGCTCCAGTGTGCACCTGTAGCACCCGCCCCCACGGAAAGCTGGCGCTGAGATCTGGCTGTGGCCTGTGGGCGAGGCTGCTGGGAAACCCATTTGCATTGGCAGCCTCAGGCTGAGAGCCCAGATGGGAGATTAACAGCGAGAAGCTGAGACAGGTGGCAATAGCTGCCCTCCCCAACCCTCCTTAGCTGGCCGCCACTGTCTCTGGCCTTGGCAGATGGGCCAGGGTTCCAAGAGCCTAATAAAGTTGGGTCTCCCGAGGACAGGGCTAGGGTCCTGAAAGGCCGTGGTGCCAGGGAAGTGGGGGCCGTATCTCTCCCAGCTCTCTCTGGCCCCCCTCCTGCATGGTGGACAGCTAGGGGCAGTGCCCGGCAGGTCTGCCCCACCCCCACACCAGAGTCTGATCTGTGGTGGGGCCTTGGGGGGAGGGGGGCTCAGTGCCCAGGAGTTATTTGTCTCCTCTGGGAGCCAGTGCCACGGGCAGCACGCCCTGTCCCCCATGGCGTGCCAGGGCTGGAGCCCAGGGGCAGGGGAGGCGAGGAGGTGGGGGGATGTGGGGGGATGTGGGGGGGGCAAGGGAGTATCCAGATCTCCCCGGGCGGGGTGGGAATGAGGAAGTGGGGAGGCTGGGGTTCCCAGGCTCCAAGGCAGGGTGGGAGCAGGGTGTGTGTGACACCAACACCGGTGAGCCGCCCTTGTGCCAGTGTCACAGTGGGGGCTGGCAGAGGATGGGCTGGCACTGCTCCACACCAGGCCCCGGCGTGGCAGCCGAGACCCTCCCAGCCAGGGGTGCAGGTGTGTCTGAGGGGCGTCTCTTTTCCTAGAGGAGGAGTCCACGGGGGGTGGGGAGGCAGGTGATCGACAGGCCAGCCTGTCCCCTGCTGGACCCCACATGTAACCCCAGGGGCCATCAGTGTTTTGATCTGGTTTGGTCCTGGCCAGGTTCTCCCCAGGGAGCCCCTGCTGCCCCTGTCCCGGCCGGCCCTGACCTGCTGGCCCTGCCTGCGCCCCTCGGCTGGAGGCGGAGGGTCCTGGGGCTGGGCTTCCAAGGGGGGCTATGGGGCTGGGGAGGGGCTTCTGCCCTGGCCCTGCCGCTTTCCAGCCAGGAGGCCACAGGCAAGTTCCTTCATCTCTCTGTGCCTCAGTTTTTCCAGCTGTGCAGTGGGGGTGCTGTCAGTGCCTCCCAGGCTGGGGAGGGTGAAGTGACCCCATGTTCCCAGGGGCCTGGCCAGCCACCGTCTGTGAGAAAAAGCCGAGAAGACCCTGGGTGCAGGGGTGGGGGCGCAGAGTGTCCAACAGGACCTGAGGGGGTGGAGGTCGCTGGTTGCGGGGGATTTGGGCTTGGACCCAGGACCGTCTTCCTGAGGATTTCTAGGCCCGGAGACAGGAAGTCAGGGTTTTCCTGGCAGGAGCTGTGTGCACATGTGCACCGTATCTCTGCTAGGAGGGCGAGTGTGCCCCGAGTGTGTGTTCCTGAGAGCCTGGCCTGCCCGGGGCCTGGCCCCAGCCAAGTGGGGCCGAGCAGGAGGCTGGACGGCAGCTCCTACAAGGCTGCAGCCGGAGAGGCTGGAGACAGAGGGTAGGCCGAGACCAGAGGACCTGGCCCAGAGCCCTGGCCTCTGGCCACTGGGCCCCCGGGGATGGACCTTGGCCACCCCCACTGCCTACCAGATCCCTCGAGGCCTTGGGAAGAGCCAGGGTGTTTGCGTGGCCATGCTGTTGTCCAGCCCATGCATGCTGGGGTGGGGGCATCTGGCTTCTCAGTTGCTGGCCAGGTCTGGCTGGGTGGGATGTGTGTGTGTGTGTGTGTGTGTGTGTGTGTGTGTGTGTGTGTGTTCGTGAGCCGAGTCGGCTCCTCAGTGCCCCCGGCACAGGGGCCCTTGCCCAGCCTCCTTGCTCCTTCCCTAGAGCAGCACAGCCGGGGACCCGCCTGTCGGCCCCTCAGGCTCAGAGCCCAGCCCTGCCAGCTGTTCTCTGGTCCCAACCTGTGCCTGCCCAGCTCCCCCTGCCGTGGGGCTCACTCCCCTCCCTCTTCAGGGTTCAGCGTGGCTTCCCCCAGTGCCACCTGTTTCCTGGGGCTCCTTCATGCACCGGAGTTGCCTCTGGTCTCTGCCCCTGAGCCTGGCATCCTTGGGACCAGGCCTGCTCTGAGAACCTTCTGGAGCCCCAGCCCAGGCCCAGTGGGAGGACAGTGAGGAGGCGCAGAGGGCGCACGTGCCCAGGGTGGGTGCTCAAGTCTGCAGAGGGGATGAGCCGCGTGTGTGAGTGGCCCAAGGACAGCATGTGCTGGAGGAGGAGGGACTTGGGTGTCCACCCTAGCTCAGGCTGGGGCCTCACCCACCGCCCTCTGTGGCCAGCGCTCCCTCCCGGTCTCCCGGTGCTCGGGCCCAGCCCCTGCCAGAGCGTGTCGTGCTGGAAAAGCCCACGAGGCTGAGCCACACAGGACTGTGTCCAAGTCTCCGCTCTGTCCTCCTCTGGCTGGTGACCTGGGCTTAGTCTTGTGACATGGGAGAGAATGCTCAGTAGGGCGGGCACTTGGGGGTCAATGGGGCTGTCCGCAGAGGTCCTAGCATGAAGGGCGTGTGTGAGTGGCAGTCAGTGTGTCACCTTCATGCCTGCATAGCCTCTCCCTCTTCCTTCCTTGCCCGGTGACCCCGGCCCCTTCCTTCCTGGCCCCCGTGCTCAGCAGGCCCCTGTACGTGGGCCAGCACCCTCAGCGGCTCCTCACCACTGCCACATGGGGAGGGGAGGCTGCAGGGCCCCCGGGTCACCCTGTCCCCAGTCTCTCTCCTTCCTTTGAGAACTGCAGCAGGCCACAGAGGCCTGCCTGCCAGGGTCACTGGCTGTCCACAGGGGGCAGGGCCAGGACTGGGCTGTCCCCAAGACACTGCCCTTCCCCACCACCATGTGGAAGGCTGGGCAGCAGGTGTGTGCTGGCCACTGGGATGGGACGAGGCAGCTGCAGCCAAGGGTGGGCTCCACAGAGCTCCAGCTCTGGGGATCAGATCCTGCTGGGCCAGGCCCGGCCTTGTAGAAGTGACTGTGCTGGGAGCCAGGAGCCTCCAAGGGTGAGGCCACCAGGGTTTCAGCCTGGCTTCCTGAGCCCCTGCTCACGTGAAACACTTGGACGGAAATGAAATGTGGACAAGTCCTACCGCCTCCTCAGTCCACTCCTCTACTGGGACTTGGGGGGCCTGGACCAGTCATTGCACAGACCCTTCCTCCTTCTAACACGCCACACTTCTGTCCGTCTGCACCTACGGCCGCCCACCTATCAGCAGTTTCGAAATTTAATTTGTTAAATGTTTTCATTTTTAGCTTCAATGATGTTTTGTACAGTAACACCTTCACTTAGGTCACGGTTTAAAAGACATTAAAGGATATAAGGTAAAAAGTCTCCTTATCCCTGGTCCCTCTGTTCCCTTCCCCAGAAGCAACCAAGGTTCCTTGCAGGACACTTGAGTTTGCAAAAAGCGATTCTTACCCAAGGGATGTGTACGAACAGTGGAATATCAGGCATTGGTGAGGAACCTTTTGATGGGGTTAGGGGATGGGCAGTCCTTCTTGATCCCAATAAAATCAAGTGATGAACCTGAGGCTCTTAGATGGTTAGAAAAGAATGGAATCTTAGGATCTTGGGAGAGACGCATCATGAGAAGTTCTGCTGTTTCTGGAGTGTCTACAGCGTTCCTGCTCCGGCAGACATGGTGCAGCAGTTAACAATCGGCCTCTGGGTTTAGATTCCAGTGCTGCACCTTCCTAGCTGTGTGACCTTGGACAGATTACTCCACCTCTCTGGGCTCTGTTTCCTTGTGTAAAATTGGGAGCTTTCCATGCAAAAGTGCAAGTGTGCTACTGGAGGGGGGCCCGGTACTTGGGTACTTGGTGAGCGTCCTCCTACCTGTCGCAGTTATTTATGTGCACTACCTCCTTTGAGCCAGCCCTGCCAAGCCCCTGAGTGCGTCCTGAGGCGTGGAGCAATGTGTTGAAAGACACAGCTGTAAGTGATGGAGCTCCCAGGGCCCAGATGGTCCCCATGCGTGAGTCCCCACCATGGTGCCTTCCCCAAGTCTGGAAGGGGAGCTCCCAGCACCTGCACCCCCTGCGGTTGGTGGTTTAGGGCAGCCTTCCTCCCCTCTGCCCCCCTACCCTTGCACGCCCTAAAGCAGCGCTGAGATTTCCAGGAAAGCCCCTGCCACGTGACTGGCCTGTCATTGGGAGGGACCTTAAGAGGACTGAGGCTCCACAGCTGTCTTCCTGGAAATCATGCCGGCTCTGAGAAGGCCCACACACTGCTGGCCCCTGGGCAGCCCAGGCTCGGAGGGATGGAGCTGAACTTGGACGTTTGCATCACTGCCAGAGAGCGTTGTGAAAGTCTGGGCTCTTTTAGGGGAGAAAGCTGGGCTTGGGGAGGGTGGCGGCCACTGGGGGCTGGCACAGGAGCCCTCCTGCACTGCACTCAGGGAAGGCCACTGCGTTGGGGTCCTGCTGCCCCACAGGCCCTGCTTTCTCCCACTGGGCCCCCTCTCCAGCGAGTGAAGTAGCCAGGCTCACTGAACACCTGAAGAATCCATGCCTCCTCAGACCTCAGTTTCCCCACCTGCCAAGCACAAAAAGAAATCCTGGGCCTGGCTTCTTCCTGGGAGGGCGGGGAGGGTCCGTGAACAAGTAAACAGCTTCCCTGGGGCAGGCAAGGGGCACTGCCCGTTGGTGCCTGGTCTGGTGAGTGTCCTGGAGCCCCACCTTTGTAGGAGGGGCTTCCCATGAGGGTGGCTCCTGGTCAGCTGTCCTGGCCGTCCTGTCCCGTGGTCCTGGGGGAAGTCAGCAGGCTCCTGACCAGGCCCTGTGCAGCTGCAAATGACCCTGAGCAGGTCACTTCCCCTCTTGAGAAGGCTGAGTAGCAGCAGGAAGCCCGGTCTCAAGGCCTCAAACTTTGCGTCCACTAGCTTCTCTGAGACTCAGTTTCCTCATCTGTCAATGGGGGATACAATGGCTCTGCCCAGGGCCGTTAGTGAGTGCAGCATCCTTGGGAAACAAGAAGCCCCAAGGAGGTCCCAGGTCTGTTGATGGCCTGGGAAGTGAATGGGAGAAGCAGGGTAGACGCTGGTGACCTGAGAGCCAGGGTCAAGGCAGCGGGAAGTGCAAGTCATCCTGCAGAGGGAAGTGGGCCCTGGCTGATGGGGGAGGGGCTAGGTGACATCCTGGAGTGCCACGGCCTTCCCCTTGAAGGGGGCCCATCCCAAGGTCAGCACTGTTCTTGTGACGATGCTACCTGCCAAGCGTCCAGCCCAGGTCTCCTGCTGCAGCCAGGCCCGGCGCCTGCACAGCCGGCCACCCCGGCCCAGGTCCTGCCTCCCTCTGGCCTTGACCTCCCCTGCTCAGAGAGCTTCCCTGTGGCCTCCTGCTCACACAGCTCAGACAGAGGGTGGCGGGAGGGGGACCGACAATGGGCAACCCTATAGTATTCTCTGGCCAGGGCTGGGTTGGCCTCTTCTGCTGCCCCACAGGGCGGAGGTGGAGTTTTAATTAACTGACTAAACATGGCAATGAAAAAGATTGGGAAATACATTGTTTTTCCAAAGATGAAAAAGCAGAAGATAGTACCTCCCATTTCTACATCTAAAACTCTGGCCTGGAAGTCCTTCCTTGTGTCTGACTTAAATGCATCAAGCTGCATTTCAGATACTGAGCAACAGTGGAGGAGAAGTAATATAGCACTGTGCTTAGGGAAGGGGCTTCCAGCCCCACCACTGACGGGCACATGACTGGGCCTAGCTGTGCCTCAGTTTTCTCATCTGCGAAAGGGGATAATTAAGCGGTACTCATTCCATCAGGTTGCCTGACAAAATCAGTTGACGTATACAGAGCACCTAAAAGAACCTGGCATCTGTGGAGGTCGAGAAAATCCAGCTCTCTATCCAAAAGAAGTGAAAGCAGGAACGGGAACAGAATTTGCACACCCTGTTACGGCAGCACGATGCACAGTAGCCCACGGGCGGCAGCAACCCAGGTGTCTGTCGAGGAATTTGGGTGGGCAAACAGCGTGCAGTGTATCCATGCCATGGAATATTACTCAGCTTTAAAAAGGAAGGAGATTCTGACACATGCTGCAACACAAGAGAACCTTGAAGATGTTACGTGGAGTGAAATAAGCCGGTCACGGAAGCACTCCCATTATGCAGGGTCCCTGGCGTAGTCAAGACCACAGAGACAGACAGAGGAAGGCCGGTCGCCAGAGGCTGAGGGCGGAGGGCATGGGAGGCTGGTGCATTGTGGGCATAGAGTTTCCGTTTCACAAGGTGGAAAGAGTTCTGGAGGTGGATGGTGCTGACGGTTGCACGGCAACGTGAATGCACTTAATGCCACAGATCTGTGCACTCACAGTGGCTAAAATGGTAAATTTTGTTATATGTCTTTTACCGTAATTAAAAAAATAAAAAGTCAGCTGTCATTGCTCAAGTGGAGGGAAGGGAGGGATGTCCCCTGAGGCCTGGGCTGACTGCGGCTCCTGGCCAGGTGCTGGAGAACTTGACTTCTGGGCTGGACTGGGGGGTCATTGCCCGTGTGCTCCTGCCTGCTGCCTTCCCTGCCTGGTGGAACCAGCCCACTGCCCTGGCCTGTCCCCTGGGAGGTGGGAAATAGGACAGCAGCTGGTCACATTCCCAAGCAACATCTGATGCTCATTTCCGGCCAGGGGTGGCTCTTTGGCTAGAGGGGCCTGGCCCCTTGAGGACAGTTTCCTCATCTGCCCAAAGGGGGTAAGCAGAGCTCCTGCCCTGTGGGCCCCACTGGGTGTCATCCCTCAGCCCTCTGTGTGGCTCCATTTTCAGGTTTCCCTTCTTTTGGGGACTGAACTCAAAGAGAGGAAGTGACTGGCGCACCACGCAGGCGGAAGGCAGTGTTCTCTTTTCCCAATCCCTGGCAGTTGCTCTGGGTGAGCCACTGTGGGCAGCTGGGGACAAGGTTGGCGGCCCTGCCTGCCCCTGCCCTGCAAGGCCCAGGCTGACCAGGGACAGTCGGGTCTTGAGGGCTTGACAACCCCTCCCCATGCAGGCTTTGCTAGCCATTTCCCAATCTGCGTGGAGTTAGGAGTGTCGGCGCCGCATGGGGCAGAGTCTGGAGGGGGAGCTTTGTGGGGATTGCACAATGAGGCGACAGCCGGCATCGGGCCAGGACCCCTTGGTTCTCATCCCATCCTCCATGTCTGGTTGCACTTGGGCTGGCCTGGCCCCAGCCTTGCCATGTGTGCACTGCGGAGCGGATGGAATGACCTCCCAGCCTTGAGGCCCCGTGGCTCTGTCGACTCATCTACAAAATGTCATCCCCAGGGCCTTGAGGAGAGAAGGAGTGGAGTACGCAGTCTACACCCCTCTCCTGGCAGCCTCCTGTGCCCTGCCCTGCAAGCCCCCCAGGGACAGGGTAGATGACAGCCTCAGCTCAAACCTGGCACTTGGCCACCACTCCTCAAGAGGAAGAGGAAGTTCTCAGTCCCAAGGGGCACCCCCTAAATGTACCCCCCGCTCAGCTGCCCCTCCCAGCGCTGGCAGACCAGTGCCCAGGCCGGTGGGGGCAGCGGGAAGGGCGGAGGGGCGGAGGGGCTGGACACAGAGGGGAGGAGCAGAGGCTCCAGCAAGGAGCAAAAGGGAAGCTGGTGCCTGCCTGGGAAATTCCTAAATGACACGGTCCTGTCCAGAGGGCAGAAATTCCGAGGCTGTGGAACGGGGAAGGAAGTTAAGCTCCCCTCACACACCTCCGCCCAGCCCCCAACCCCTGCATCCCCACAGAGCCTGGGACACTGTTTGGAAGGGGAAACTGAGTCCCAGAAAGTGCTGTGACCTGCTCACGGCGGTGCTGAGGGCGCAACCCTGGGCCAAGTGATGGCCAAGCTGAGTCCTGGGGCCTGGGCCTCGTGTCCGCTCCCTGCCAGCTCTGGGAGCAGTCCCGGAGAGGGACGGGCTCAGCGGGGGTCCTCCCGGCCTGTGTGAACTCCAGCTACTGCCCGTGTCACCTGGGTGAGTCACTTCGCCTCTCTGAGCAGTTCCTGGCTTCGAGCAAGGCCCCCAGCAGGCGGCCGTTCGCAGCCCTCAGTCCTCTGGCCGGCGCTGCAGGCCCCTCCCTTCAGGACGCCTCCTCCAGGAAGCCCCCCCAACGCCTGCAGAGCTTGGCGGCTGAGGGAGCCAGGGTGGGACGCGGGCGCCACTCTGAGCCGGGTGGGCGCTGGCTCTGTGACGCGGAGAGTGGCCCTGAGCGCGGCCCTCTCCGGGCAGCCTATCAGAAGCTGTCGCCGGACAATGAGCCGCCGGACGGATCCCGGGGTCCCCGGGGCCTTCCCCGTGGCCCACATTCCCGGCGACGCGCGGCCCGACCCGCCACCCTGCCCGGGCTGGTGGCAGGCAGCGACCCGCCCTCACTCCCTCCCGCTGGGCTGCCGGACACGGACGCCGGGACAAGCCCCCGCCACACCGGCCTTGGCCTCCGCCCGCGGGTTTTCCGCGGTTGCGGCGGGCGGGGCGGGGGCGGAGCCTGCGACTATTTGAGGCGGCGCCGAGCGGGCCGGGACAGCGGCGGCCGGCGGACACAGTAAGTGACCTCCGCCTCCGCGCATCCCTCCCCCGCCGCTCCGCTGCGCTTCTCGCCCGCCCTGGCCCCCAGTCCCCCGCCGGATTCCCCGAGGGAACGGCCTGGCACAGCGCAGGGGACACTCCGAGGGGCCCTGGCCTCGGGCAGCCCCACTGCTAAGGGAAACTGAGGCCGCTGTGCGGAGCAGCGCTCCGGGCGGGCCCGGTCCAGCGAGAGGCAGGGAGGGCGGGTCTCCCTTCCCTTCCCTTCCCTTCGCTGTAGGAAGGCCCAGCCCTGTGGCGTGACTCCCTGGCTGTGTGACTTAGGCCAAGTCACTTCCTTGCCTGTGCCTGGATGTCCTCATCCCGGGATGGCTGCGCCCCAGGAGAGAGGAGCCAGGGAGCAGGGAGGCTGTGTGGCCCTCAGCCCTGAGCCCCCCAGAGGCTGCGGAGGGGAGGCCTCCGTGCAGCTGCCGCCACACTGTTACTCCGCAGGCCCCTCCCTGCCTCAGTGGGCCAGTCAGAGCTGGGGCTCTAGGGGGTGCCTTCCTGCCCTCCTCCTGCCCGGGATGTGCCCCTCACAGTGCCTGCAGGACTGGCAGAGGCACACAGGGTACCGTCACCCTTGCTGAGCCCGGCTAGGTGCCCCAGAGCTCGCTGTGTGGCTTTGCCACATCCTCCCAGCAGCGCGGCCAGGTGGCGTCCCCATGCCCGTCCCACAGGTGGGAAACAGGCCTGTGAAGGAAGGGGTGTCAGCCCACATGCTGGTGATAGGTGCAGAGAGCCCACGGCCGTTTCTCTTCCCGCCGCGCCAGCTGCCTCTGAGAGTAGAGACCTGGCAGGAACCCCGGGGTCCGGCTGCGGGACCCCGATGGGCAGGTGTTTTGTGCCGTAGAGGGGAGAGGCCAGCGACGCTGCAGGGGGACCTGCAGGAGCTGCGCCTGGAGGATGGAGAGGGCCTAGACTGTGTGGGGACCAAGGAGTTGTGCCCTATGGGGAGGGGAGGGACAGTGAGGCTGGTGGGCAGCACGGCTGGCCGGTCAGGGTGGCCCCTCTCCCACCCCTGGAGGAGGGCAGGAGTGGAGCCTGGGTGCCCGGGTGGGGCGCAGCAGCCCTGCTGGATAGACCGGCTCCTGCGGTGCCTGGCATGCAAACGAGATGGGTTGGGAGGGGAAGCTGGGCCAGGGGGTGGGCAGGGCAGAAGTGTCCAGTGGCCTTGCACCTGGGGACCCTGGCTTTGGAGCTCCCCAGGGTAGTTCCTGCTTGGTCCTGAAGTGGAGCTCTAAGCCCAAGAGGTACCAGGGAGCAAATGGGGTCCAGGAGTGTGGGACTCTGCACAGGACCCCAGGTGAGATGGCAGGGGCTGGGAGTGGAAGGAGCCTAGGCTTTCTGTCCCCCAAGTGGCTCTGGCCAAGCCCCAGGGTATGGAGCAACCCCCTGAGGGAATGGGATAGGATAGCCAGGCCGGTGAAGGCAGTAGCAGGGGCTGTGGAAGGAGTCCGACAGGCCTGACCTGAGTCCCCCTGCCTGCTGTGCTTGGGGCAGGTACCTCCCCTCTAGCCTCAGTTTCCCCTTCTGGGTGGTGGATCACCCTGTCTGTCTTGCAAGGCTGTTGCAGAGGTTATTCCAAGTCATCATGATACATGAGACACAGCTTGATATATTTATTCTTGGGGGTGGGGCAGGCAGGTGGCACCATGGTTACAGGTCACCCCAGTGACCAGGAAGGCCCGGCCCTCCCTTAGGGTCAGCCATGCTCCCCTGCAGTGGTCCTGGCCTTGCTTTGACATTGGTCAGGGTGCTAGGGAGGGTTCTGCCTCTCTGGGCGCAGCTCGCAGGGCAGTGGGGAGCACAGGGGCAGGGGAAGAGCCGGGCTCCAGAGCCAGGTGATCTGAGTTCCAAGCCCAAGCTGTTTACCATAGGGACATTGTAAACCTAAATAACAACACCCTTTCTGGATGCTAGAGAGGAAGAGATGGGATGGGCTCCCAGGAAGGGTGCAGAAACGGGAAGCTTTTGTGACTATGATGTCACCCCATTTGGGAGCAGGCAGGGTGGGACAGAAGCCAGGAAGCCTGGTTTCTGCGCCCAAGTTGCGCTGTGACCTCAGGCAGCCCTGTGCCTTGCTGAGCTCCTAACCCCACCATGACATGTGAAAGGGTCTCCAAGGCCCCTTCCCACACCCCATGGCGTCTGTAGATCTGTAGAGGGGTCAGTCTCTGCCCCTCATGGCCCAGCAAGAGCAGCCACCTTCCTGCTCATGGCAGCCGTCCACGGCCCCCCGGCGAAGTGGGAACGGGGCAAGGTGCAGCTAGGCAGGAGGGGGCCTGGGCCTGGGCTAGCTTCTGGTGCTCTGTGACCCGGGCATGGCACTGACCCTTCTGGACCTCTGTTCTTGCTCCATACAAAGGGACAGAAGCCCCTGCCCTGCCTCTTCCCCAGGGTCTTGTAAGGAAGGATTTGCCAAAATAAAGTGAAGGCTCCTCTATCTGGGTGGCTTGGCGTCCCAGCCTCTTTCCTGTCTCAGGGGCCGTTCTGGCCATAGTGGCCTCGCATGGTGGCCTAGCAGGAGTGTGAGGACCACCAGACGGTGGCAGGGCCGGGGACCTCAGCTCTGGCTGCAGTTGTGGCCGTACAGTGTGTCCCAGGCGGCCGAGGAGGTGGAGGGGCCACGAGGTATTGGAAGAGGAGCTGTGGGTGCAGGGAAGGGAGCAGAGCTGTTGGTGCCCGGCGAGGCCAGGAGATGGCCAGAGCCCCGGTGGTTGTACGCGTGAAAACAGACCAAGCGTGGTCAATGCGGCCACCACAGCTGAGTGCTCTGTCCTGGGAGCCCGGAGCCAGGGCCAGTCCACGGTGGCCACTGACTCCTTCACTGTCCCTCCCCGCATCCCGCAGGCCTGAGCCAGGGTGATGCTGAAGATGATGACATTCTTCCAAGGCCTTCCAGGCCAGCAGCCTGTGCCAGGGACCCTCGACTTACCCAGAAGCCCCAAAAAGTTGCCCTCCACGTCAGAGGCGGAGTCAGAGGCCTCCTCTGAGGACCTGGTGCCGTCCCTGGGGGCTGGGGTAGCCCCAGGCAAGGAGGAGGAAAAGGCTTTGAAGAAGAAGAAGAAGAAGCCAAAAGGACTGGCCAACATGTTCAGCGTCTTCACCAAGGGGAAGAAGAAGAAGGGCCAGCGGGGCCCAGCAGAGCCAGAGGGCGACCCTGAGCCCAGGCCCGGGCTGGACGGCCCACTGCCCACAGGTAGGCTGGGCCCCAGGGCTCGTGCATTAGAGCCAGCCCGGGCCTGGGCAGGGTAGGAGTGCATGGGCATGGATGTGCCACCCACCCGGGACACGGGGCAGTGAGCTGGGCTTGGAGGTGTGTCTGCCTCCTGCTTTCACCCGTGCCCCGTGGGGCGGGCTGGGGAGGGGGCCACCAGGCCTCAGTCCTGTCTGGGGCTGGCCTTCACCCTCTGCGGGCGGCCGGGCGCGGCGCTAACGCGGCTTTCTTTCCCGCGCAGTGGAGGAGCTCAAGGCGGCCCTGGAGCATGGGCGACTGGAGGCGGCGCGGCCGCTGCTGGCGCTGGAGCGGGAGCTGCAGGCGGCGGCGGCGGCCGGCGGCGCGGGCGAGGAGGAGCTGGTGCGTCGCCAGAGCAAGGTGGAGGCGCTGTACGCGCTGCTGCGCGACCAGGCGCTCGGCGTGCTGCGCCGGCCGCTGGAGGTGGCACCCGAGCGGCTGCGCCAGGCGCTGGCCGTGGTGGCCGAGCAGGAGCGCGAGGACCGCCGGGCGGCGGCGGGGCCGGGGACCTCGGCGCTGGCGACCACGCGCCCGCGGCGCTGGCTGCAGCTGTGGCGGCGCGGCGTGGCCGAGGCGGCCGAGGAGCGCATGAGCCGGCGGCCGGCCGCGGGCGCCGAGGGCCGCTCCGAGGCGGAGATCGTCTTCCTGCACATGGGTCGCACCATGAAGGAGGACCTGGAGGCCGTGGTGGAGAGGCTGAAGCCGCTGTTTCCCCCCGAATTCGGCGTGGTGGCCGCCTACGCCCAGAGCTACCACGAGCACTTCGCGGCCCAGCTGGCCGCCATGGTGCAGTTCGAGCTGTGCGAGCGCGACACCTACATGCTGCTGGTCTGGGCGCAGAACCTCTACCCCAAGTGAGCGCGGGGCTGCGCCGGGCAGGGAGGGGGCTGCTCTGCAGGAGGGGTGTCTGTTTTCAGTGAGGCCACTGCTTGCAGAATTGGGGGTCCGAGAGTGCAGGGGTGGGACTTGGCCTCAGAAGGACGGAACCTGGACATGCAAGGCCAGGGCCTGGGCACAGGGACAGGGCTGGGGCTGCTTTGCACTTGGAGCCCTTAATTTCCTGGGCCTCAGCCACATTCTGCGGTTGGGGAAACTGAGGCCCAGAGAATGTCACTGACTTCATTCATTCATGAGCTCCCAGTCTAGGGAGGGGGTGGAGCAAACAATGAGGGCCCAGGGCAAGCCTGGGGGAGTCAGGGAAGCCAGCCCCTGACCTCCCATGCAGGTCAGGAGGGGACAGGCCAGACAGGGCAGGAGGTGGGAGGGAGGATGGTGTTCCTGGCAGAGGACGTGGCATCTTCCAGGGCCTGGGGCTGAACCTCGGGATGCTCTGGGAGCTCAGCAGAACTTGTCAAGGTGTTTGCATTTATCTGGCAGGCCATGGGGCACCCTCAGGCAGGACGACTAGCAGGGGCGGGATAGGGCCAGGGGTCCTGTTGGAAAGATCCCGTGTGCAGGGTCACCTTGTGAGCCCATGGCAGAGCTGGGTTCTGGCCGCCGAGGCCTGGAGCTCCTCAGGTGGAGGGGGCTGTGCCAATGGAGGACAGCTGGTACCCCGCTGGGTACAGCCTCAGGCATCCCCTGACTAGCCTAGACGCCATGGATCACCGCATGTGCCCTCATTCACACAGACCCCGTGGGGAGGGACGTGTACTGCAGGGTGGAAGTGCCCAGGGCATGGGAGGCCAGAGACGCGAGGGCTTGGCCACTGCTGGCCCAGCTCCAAGTGTGAAGCCTGGAGGTGCACAGTGTGGGTAGTGTCTGAGGGCCTGAGGACCTTTGGTGGCAGTGGGTTGATTTGGTGCTGATGGGTCAGCTCTGGCAGGAGGACAGAGGAAAGGCCCAGGGGGTGGTGGGTGAGGAGTCAGCAGGGCATAGGGAGATGGGCACAGGGCAGGGGCTGCAGGAGGGGTAGCCCAGCCCCGAGCCAGTTCCTGCTTGCTTGTCCTGACTCACCAGGAAGTACCAGGCACTGGCACTTCTGCCCATGAGCCTTCCTGTCCCAGTGACCTCAGGGTCTCCTAGCCCAGGGACCAGTGGGGTTAGCACAGCAAGAAACTAAGGCCAGCCTGGGCATGGGGCCCTGGTGACGGGGTGTCCAGGGAGGCATTGTTGAAGTGTGTGTGGCCAGAAGTGTGGGGGACAGAGGGACACAGCTGCGTCTAGACTGAGTGAGGGGCACAGAGAGGGTCATTCTTAAGCCTCCAGGCAGACAAAGGCCCCTTTGGAAGTGCCAGGGCTGGGCAGGTCCCCCGGGAGCTCAGGGACCCCGCAGAGGCGCCACAAGAGTGTGCTGAGCCGCCTCCATGGAACAGTTCGGGGGCAGCCCTTCCTGCCCCAGCTGGCCCACCCTCTGGGGGCTGCAGGGCTGGGCTGGTGGGGGCGGGCAGGGCTGGCGAGTTGCCCAAGGTCAGCAGGTCCGGCAGGCGGGAGAGCTGGCTGGGTCTCAGGGCTGCTGTGAGCAGGAGCTGACTTGGGGCAGGGAGAGCAGATCTGAAAGGTGGCTCTGGCTGCTGTGAGAAGGGGCTGTTGGGGGCAGGGCAGGGGCAGAGGGGCGGGGAGGAGGCTCCTGCACAAGCGGGTGAGAATGGGGGTGCCACAGGGCACCAGGGTGGCTTGAGGCTGATGGATTTGGGGGGCTATTCTGAAGCAGGTGTGGGTGTGGGGCTGAGAGTCAGGAGGCACAACGATGCTTTCAGGGTTTCTGGCCTGAACCAGACTGAGCGGACAGAGGACGCATCATCTGAACCAGGGAATGGGGTGGGGGTGCTGCAGGGTGCAGGGGAAGCTGGGCCTGCCCAGACTGGAGGCCGAGGCTCGGAAGGTGGCTCCTGACTGAGGGATGGCACTGAGTGGGTGCACCTCTCCACATGCCAGCCTCTCTGTGCCCACAGTGACATCATCAACAGCCCCAAGCTGGCCGGTGAGCTGCAGAGTGTTGGGCTTGGGAGCCTCCTGCCCCCGAAGCAGATCCGGCTGCTGGAGGCCACGTTCCTGTCCAACGAGGCGGTGAGTCCTGTGCTGGGCCAGGGCCAGGGCCTGGGCCAGGGAGGGGCAGGAAGGCAAGGCAGGGGGGATCAGAGACTGCGACTTCCAGGTGAGCACCTGCTCCTCTTCCCCCAGGCCAATGTGAAGGAGCTGATGGCCCGTGCCCTGGAGCTGGAGTCCCAGCATTGGGCCCAGAATGCAGCGCCCCAGAGGTTGGATGGCCACTGCCACAGTGAGCTGGCCATCGACATTCTGCAGGTACAGGTCTGCCCCACGTACAGCCCGCACCGTGCACACGTACAGCCCACGTACTCCTGTGTGCATGCGCCGCCCACCTCCTGGCGCCCCCTGTTCCAGCATGCTCCCCCCAACCCCAGCCCCACCCCAGCCCCAGTCCAGGCGAGCCCCTGCTCAGCCCACCCATCACCACCCTGCAGATCGTCTCCCAGGCCCATGCCAAGGCGGAGAGCATCACCCCCGACTTGGGCTCGCAGATCAAGCAAGTGCTGCTGGTGGAGCTGGCCGCGCTCCTGCGGAGGTGGGTGGTGCGTGTGCTGCACAGGACGGTCCCTGCCTGTGCCTCAGGTGGGGGTCCAAGCTAGATCCCTCCCCCCAGGCCCCTGGGTGCTGAGAGCCTCAGGAGGTCTGACCCCCTGAGGCTCTGAGTGTGGCACTTCCTGTCCCCCAGTCAGCAAAGCTCCCAGCAGAGCAGCCTCCAGCTTCAAAGAGGATGCCCTGGGAGGGACTGGGACCCCTTCCACTCCTTCACCTCCTCCAGCCGGCCACGCCCCTCTGGTCTTCCAGCGATAGGGGCCTGGGGGAAGGGCTGGGGCCAGCAGCGCAGGGCTCACGCTCTCTTCAGGAGTCCTGGGGGGACTCTGGCCCCACTGGCCTTAGCCTGTGAAGCCATGTGTGTGCCGCTGAGGGGCTGGCGGCCCTCCCTGAGCTGTGGGGAGACAAAGGGGAAAGCCTCTGGGAACCTGGGGAGATGGGTGGGCTGGAGGCTGCTCTGTCCCAGTGTTTGTGCTGCTCCTGAATGTGCCCCTTCTGGTTTTACCAGCTACCAGCGCACCTTTGACGAATTTCTGGAGAGATGCAAAAAGCTGAGTAATTACAGGGCCAATGTCATGGCCAACATCAACAACTGCCTGTCCTTCCGGTGAGGGTGCCGGGAGGCTGGGTCTGGTCAGGAGGGGTGGGAAGGCTTGGCCTGGGGAGAGGGCAGGGGGGCTGGAGGGGAGGAGGAGCCACTTGGGCAAAGAAGTGGATTTACAATTAGCACGGTGTGTGGGGAAAGGGCGGGCTGCAGCAGCAGCAAACGTCAGTGCTGGGTGGCTCGCGCACTCACGCCAACGATTCACCCATTAGTTCATCCTTACACAGCCGGACAGTGTAGGTTCAGCGGCCATGCCTGCTAAGCGGAGGTCAGACTGGGCCGTGGGCGCTGACTTGGCCTCAGTTAGAGGGGGGTGTGCTGTCGGTGTGTGCCGGGGGCCTGGGGAGCATGGACGGGAAGGAGGACTCGGACTTGATCCCACAGGGGGATGGGGAGGCATCGAGGGTTCTAGAGTGAGGAGAAGGGGCTAACTGCCTCCCTGCGTGTGGGGCTGTGGGCTGGGCAGGGCCTGTGTGACCTCCCTGCCTCCATCTCCCAGGACGTCCATGGAGCAGAAGTGGCAGGTACCCCAGGACCCCCTGAGCCTCCTGCTGGGCCCCCTGAGTGAGCTCAAGCGTCACGGCTTCGACTCCCTGCTCCAGAGCCTGTTTGAGGACCTGAAGGTGGCCGCCTGAGCCCAGCGCTGGGGGGCAGGGGGGCGGGAGGGTGCTCTGGGGAGGGATGGCAGCAGCAAAGGGTGGGGAGGACACGCTTTGGGCCTGTGAGAGGCGTGGAGCAAGCTGCCGTGCCAGTGAGGGGCCCCAGAGGGGTCCTGCCTTTGCCCACCACTTTGTCCGCGAGACCCCAGCCGCCAGGGCTGGGAGGGCCTGGGGAAGGAGACCCAGCCCAGTCCCCAAGTTTGCTCACACTTTCCCTCCAACTCTCCAGACCTTCTGCACCCTGTCCCTGTGCCCAACTCCCAGCTCCTGACGCTTGGGGCCTTTGGCAGCCCGGGTCACATCTGCTGTGGGTCAAGAAATCCACAGAGGCCGGGCGTGGTGGCTCACGCCTGTAATCCTAGCACTCTGGGAGGCCGAGGCGGGAGAATTGCTTGCGGTCAGGAGTTCAAAACCAGCCTGAGCAAGAGCGAGACCCCGTCTCTACTATAAATAGAAAGAAATCAATTTGCCACCTAATATATATAGAAAAAACTAGCCAGGCATGGTGGCGCATGCCTGTAGTCCCAGCTACTCGGGAGGCTGAGGCAGGAGGATCGCTTGAGCCCAGGAGTTTGAGGTTGCTGTGAGCTAGGCTGACGCCACAGCACTCACTCTAGCCTGGGCAACAAAGCAAGACTCTGTCTCAAAAAAAAAAAAAAAAATCCACAGAAAACCCTTTGAATTAAAGTAGTCCCTTTAGCAGAGGGTGGGGTGGGGGTCCCTCAAAAGGAAGAGGAGGTGTTCCCTGCCCAGGGAACTAGAGGCCACGGGTGGCCCAAGGGTAGTGAAGGCCCTACCAGTGACCCTAGATCCTTTGGCACCGGTCTCACAGGCCCAGCCGAGCACAGGGCTTTGTTTATGCAGGAATTTATTTATTTAAGAGGGAGGCAGTGGAAAAGGCCTCGGGGCAGCCGGCAGACAGGCCATCCTGGCCCCTGAGCCACAGCTGGACAACCTTGGAGAAGGGTGCACAGACCTGCCTCCACTTCCTGTCTGTGAGCAGGGACCTGAGCTCTGCCTGGGCTCCCTGGGAGTCCTTGAGCCCCTCGGCCCTCCTGCCGGGCACACGTGTCCGCCTGTGTGCCTGTGTGTGTCTGCGGCCAGCGGCTGAGCTGCCTCTCTGGGGCATGACCAGACTTCCTGCCTCCCTGTTTCAGCCGCTGTTCAAGAAGTTCACGCAGACCTACTGGGCAAGCCCCGAGGAGACCCTGGAGAAAATCATTGCCACCGTGGGCAGGAGGCTGCCTGAGTTCTCAGAACTGCAGGACTGTTTCCGGGAGGTGAGCACACCCTGGGCTGGCGGCTGGGCCGGGGGGTGGGGGGTGTGGGAAAGCCCGACCACAAGTGCTAACACGTGTGTGCGCCCCGCACCCCCACGCACCTGTGGATGCATGCACACGTGTGCACTCTGCCTCTCCCTGGTTTCCTGGCTTTGAGGCTTCCGGGGAGGTGGTGAGCTCCCCGTCAGCGGTGGGCTCACACGACCCTGGCTGCCTGCCCTCCAGGAGCTCATGGAGAGCATGCACCTGCACCTGGTGAAGGAATACATCATCCGCCTCAGCAAGCGCTGCCTGGTCCTCAAGACGGCCGAGCAGCAGCAGCAGCTGGCAAGGCACATCCTGGCCAACGCCAATGTCATCCAGCACTTCTGCACCCAGAACGTAAGCCCCTGCCCCGCCTCCCGAGCCCCTGGGTGGGCTGCCTCTTTCCCCAGCCCCTTCAGGATCTAGGGCAGCACCTTCCGGGCCTCTCCCAGCCCAGCCAGCTCCTGACCTGAGCCTCTCCCAGCCCAGCCAGCTCCTGACCTGAGCCTCTCCCAGCCCAGCCAGCTCCTGGCCTGAGCTTTTCTGGGCCCCGGGTGCCTGCGAGGGCGAGGGCAGTCTCCCACAGCCCGCTGTGCCTGCAGGGCTCCGCTGCGACCTGGCTGCACCCTGCCCTCCCCACGCTTGCCGAGATCATTCGCCTGCAAGACCCCAGCGCTATCAAGATTGAGGTGGCCACTTATGCCACCTGCTACCCCGACTTCAGGTGAGAACGAGGGGTGCTGAGCAGTCGGCGTGGCCCTGACAGACCTCCCTGTGGCCGGGCCTCCTGGGGCGGCACCCGGAGCCCAGATGCTGCTGTTCTGCAGGGGTGCAGTCACCGCAGCTGGCTTTTGCTGCGTGCCAGACTCATTCCTTTAGTCCTCACCGCAGCCCTGCGAGGCTGACAGTTTTCATTCCCGTCTTACAAGTGAGGCCTGGAGAGCTTAATGTGTTCAGGCCTTAATGTGTCCAAGGCCTTGGAATGTGTCCAAGGTGACACAACTAGGTAGAGGTAGAGCTAGAGTGACAAGGCCAGGCAGTCCTGTCCCAGAGCCCATGCTCTTAGCCTTATGGGACACTGCCTCCTGAGACCAGAGAGACTGGGGTCTACCACACAGCCTGGGTGACCTCAGGGGGGCCTGGACCTGGGCCCTGGGGCTCCTGTTCAGGAGTGGAGACTTAGCCCCTGGCTGCCTGAGCGTCTGGTGAACCAGGGATAGTGTTTCTCTCTGAGCTGGGCCCTCTGATAGGACAGGAAAAATCTGAATGGGCCTTGACAGGGTTGACCCAGCCTAGCCTCATCCAGGCCCTGGCTGGTCTACTCCACCCACCCACCCATCCACTCACCCACCCGTCCCACCAGCAATCACGTAGCGGCCTGTTAGGGACCACGCTCTGTTCTAGGCGCCAGGACGCCGTGAAGCACAGGCCAGGCCAGGTCTCCCTCCTCCCTCAGAGGCTCCCCTTCTGTTGAGGGCCAGTGATGATTAAGGTCATCAGGCAAAGAAACACCATGATTGAAAGCCGTAAAGAGAGTTTAGCCAAGGTTGTGGATAGCAGGAGGGGCTGACTTTAGGGAGATCCTCTTGGGGGAAGTGACATTTTAGCCGAGACCTAAAGGTGGGGAGGAGCTGGTCATCTCGAGTGTGGGGAGGAGCAAGCACTCCAGGAGGAACAGCCCGTGCAAAGGCCTGGAGTGGCTGGGGCTCGGCTGCTCTTGGGACTGCCGGCTGCTGGAGCGAGTGCACAGGGGTAAGGGGGCTCCCCAGTGGGCGGTGGGGGGTTGGCTGTGGGGCCCTGTGGCACTGGCCAGGAGTCTAGGAAGCTGGGAAGGAGTCTGAGTGAGGGTGTTGGTGACCAGCTGGGCTCACAGGATGCTCTCTTTGCCAGCAAAAGCCACCTGAGTGCCATCCTGGCCATCAAGGGGAACCTCTCCACCAGCGAAGTCAAAAGCATCCGGAGCATCCTGGATGTCAGCACAGAGGTGCAGGAGCCCTCCAGGTCCCTATATTCCCTTATAAAGGTTGGTTAGCTTTTCCTGCAGCCTGACCTGCTTGAGAGCACCCGGCAGGCATCGGTACCACCCCACCTGGGAAAACCACCCCACCTGGGAAAACCACCTCACCTGGAGCAACCAGCCCACCTGGGGGCTGTTCAGGCCAGTGCTGGCTCACGGCTCATGGGCCTCCGAATTCTGCTGCTGCTGCTGCTGCTGCTGCCTAGCCCTGCGGAGTGCAGGCCCCTGGCAGCTTCCGTACCCAGTGGGGGCAGGGCACCCACTGTGGGAGGGCAACAGGGCAGCACCTAAGAACCTCTCTGAAACGGCAGTTGCCTGTGCGTGCACGCACAGGGCACCCGAGAGAGAGAGCGTGGTCCTGTGTCGGGGGCCCTTCCACGGTCTGCCTTGTGGGCGGGTCTGAGTGCCCCTTCCAGCCCCCAGGGCCCGGCTGAGCTGCACCCATCTCGCCTCCTTCAGCCCAGGCCACAGAGAGCTGGGCTCTGCAAGTGTGCGACCGAGGACAGGCCTGGAAGGGAAGGAGGAAAGGAACTCTTACCTGGGGCCCGGGAAGGGGCTTGTGCGGTCTCATGGCGTGTTGGGAGCAGAGCCAGCAGCAGAGCCACTTCCAGATCGTCCCACAGCCCCTGTCGCCTGCCCCGGGAGCTCAGACCTGGACCCCTCCCTACCATCCCAAGGTCCAAGGTCCCAGGAGGCCTTGACGCCCACCACGGTGGGGCCAGGACGTCCTGGGTCTTCTCAGGGTTCCCCTGTCCCCAGGTCCCCTGCAGGGACAGGCACGGGCGCCTCCATGGGCCCTGACACCTGGACGTCATCTGGCTGAGGTCTGGGCGGGGGTAGGGCAACCTCGACCTCTGACCCTTTGGCCTCTGTATTAGTTCCCTGCCGCTGCTGTGACACACTCGCAAAAGCTTAGCAAGTCACAGAGAGAACCAACCTGGCTGCAGTGCTGTGGGTCAGAGCCCCACACGGTGTCTGCAGAGCCTTTGGGGGTCTAAGGGAGAGCTCATTTCCTGGCCTTTACATTCCTAGAGGCCCCTCCACCTTCAGAGCCAGCAGGGGGTGGCGGAATCCTTTCCTGTCACCTCCCGTCCTCCCTCCCCCACTCTTAAGGACCGCTGTGATGACATTAGGCCTACCCAGATAACAAGGTCATCTCCCTGTTTTAAGGCCCCTGATAAGCAACCTTCATTCCATCTGGAACCTGACTTCCCATTGGCCACCCACGTAGCCTGAGGTGGTCACAGGCCCTGGGGACTGGCTCTTGCACGCCTTAGGGAGGCCGTCGTCCTGCCCAGCGTGGCATCCGTGCCGGGTCCCGCAGGGCGCCTCCCTCTACCGTGGGAAAACCACAGTCAGTTTCCCTGCTCAGCCTCCGCCACCCGAAGGCCCTGTGCTCCTGGGGCCCGAATGTCCCCTCCCGGCACAGAAGGGGCAGCTCAGACTCAGGCGTGACCCACCTCGCTTATGCCGGGGACCTCCTGGGCTGTCCCCTTTCCCCAGGTACTGCGTCACGGGGCCGTGGCGGGGTTGGCCAGTGTAGACGACGCACGAGATCTCTGTACCTTTGTAGGAGTAGCATGTTTGGTGATGTTAATATTGTTTTCTTCTTTTTATATATATATATATATATATATATATATGTATGTATATATTTTTTCTTCCCGCACCCACTCCCCTCCATTAATATTGTTTTGATAGTACTGCTTTTGTATGTGTGCCTTCGAGACAGGATCCAGATTTTTATATCTTGATATAAAGCTGATTTCAAAAGTGGCCGTGGAGTGGTTTCCTTTGGGAGCTGCGAGATGGGGGCCTGAACGCCGCCTCAGCCTTGGGGTCCCGGCACGCCCTGTCCTCCCAGGCTCTGTGTCAAGCCCCCAACCTCGGCGGTCCCCAGAGTCCCCCCTGTGGTCTAGGCAAGAGAATGCCCCCCTGGTCATTTGTGAGCCTGAGTTCTGCAAGGGTTTGCCTGCGGGGCCTGGCCAGTCCTGTCCCCTCTGTGACTCGGTTTCCTCATCTGTGAAGAGGGGATTATGACCCTTTGTGGCTCCCCCCCACCATCTTTTACTAAGGATAGTAGGGGTGGTGGGAGGGTGGGGTGGACCATTGGGAACTTACTCCTATATTTCTGGCCCTGACCCTGCCAGCCACAGCTGTGAGCAGAGGCACCGTGGTTTGTGTTCGGAGGCGGCGCGGCTGGCTTGGGATTTGGGGGAAGAGCAGAGTCCCTGGGGAAGGAGGGGTGCCTTGGCGTGTCCACTCCACAAAGCCCAGAGAGGGAGCCCAGGGAAGCCCTGTGGGGTCTGGGGTCCTACGAGAAGAAGGGGAGGCCCTTTCTCTAGAGTTCCATCTGGGGGGTCCACAAGGATGGGGTGGAGCCCACTGGCCAGTGGGAAGCAAGGATGGTGGGAACAAGAGTCAGGGCCCAGAGGGGACCCCTCTGTCCAGCTCCTGGGCCCCAAACGAGCAGTGTCCGCTATGGGCTTCCGGATAGAGTCAGGCCTGGCGGGGAGCCCTGGGGGAGAACTTGGCAGTCAGGCCCAAGTGCAGGGTGCTGGTGGGTGGGTGACTCAGCAGGGACCGGGGCAGCTCCAGCTGTGCTATGGAGGGACTTGCTGAGGAAGGGACAGCCGGTTGGTGACCCCAGTCTTGAGGCCGTCTCTTGCACAGACTGGGGCAGAGCAGTGCAGGGCAGGGAGTGGCCAGGGCAAAGGTGGCAGGTGGGGACTGGGAAGGAGCCCAGGCTTTAGGGGAGGGCTGGGTGGCTGAGGGGGGGAGTAGAGCAAGACCATCAGAGAGGGAGGGGCAGGGAATCGGGACAGGGTCTGGTTGGGGCTGGGAGTGGGGCTCGGCCCAGCTGCAAAGGAAGCACCGGAGGAGTCCAGGGGTCCAGAGGTGCTGATGTGACCTGTGGCTTGGAAAGACGTCCGGCTGCTGTGTGTGGACTGGAGAATGGGGAGCACTTCCCAGGGAAGAGACGAGGGCATCAGCGAGGGCCATGACCCCGGCATGAGACGGAGCAGGCTCTGCGGAGGGTGACAGGAAGAGCAGCCCGGGACCTGGTGAAGCTGGCAGCTGCGGTGCGGCCTCCAGAGAGAGCAGAGGCCTGGCAGGGCCCCGGGGAGGTCAGGCGGAGGGGGGGAAGAAATTTGATCAGGTCAAGTTTGGGAGGTCTGCAGAAAGGGAGCGTGACTCATTCGATGGACCAAGACCCAGGTGAGTGACAACACTTCCTGTGCGAGGCTGTCGCTGCCAGGCCTGCTCGCTCTGCTGTGGGGCCATCATTTCGCAGGGCCCCTGGGAAGGGGGATTTGGGATTATGGGCCCACAAATGCATACATAGCCCGTGACCCAGCCACTGCCCTTCTAGGAATGTCTCTCATCCATACTCTAACATTCATGCAAAACTACCTGGGCACCAGGTTAGCCACTTCCATTGTAGCAGCAAAACACGGCAGACTCCTCCGTTGTCCTGCCTCTCTTTGGTTGGTGTGGTTTTCCATGAACGTTTTCTGTGTGTCACGGGGGAAGTGTTGCTGCCATGTGGCAGCAGCTTCGCTTCGCCTAGTGAGTCAGAGTCCAGCACTCCAGCCATGGAGCAGTCTGTGTTTAAGCCTTTCGGTTCCATGATAATGAGCCCAGGATGGCCAGGTGGCAGTATCCCCTTCTCTGAATGAAACCATGGTGTGTCCCCTGGGGACCAGGGCAGAAGGAAGCAAGTGAGGCCCCAGGGCCACCCGCCCACTCTCCGGATCACGCAGGGGCTGAGCCCGCACTTGAATTCTGTGCCGAGAGACACCCTCACCCCAAGGCCCTGTGAGGGCAGCATCTGAAATTAACCCTTTGCACTCGGATGTCGAGTGTGGATAATGTCGAGTGGATAATGAGAAAAAAACAAGCGAGTGCAAAGAGTTAACACTTGCACCCACTGTTGGCGGAACTGCAACTTGGCACAGACTTTCTGGAGGGCATTTGATTGTTTATTTTAAAAAATTTAATTCCAAGGTTTGAAAATGATCTTCTCACAAATTTGTTCTTCCCTGTGAATTAAAAAAATTTTTTTTCCTTTGAGGCAAGTACGAAACGAATTTTAAAATTTTTGATTTACATTTTTACTAGAATAAAATGGCAAAAACAGACCAAAAATGTTTTTTAAAAAAATACTTCTGAAACTATGGCATGTGCAAGTTTCAAAAGTGAAATAATAGCTATAGACTTGAAGTGTCAGGCCTGTGCCCCGTCACCCCCACCCCGACCCCCGGCAGCCCCTTTCACCCCTACCCATGTTCCTGGCCCTTCTTGAGTTTTGGTTTTCGATGTCCCTCTATCAAATTGACACCATGTAGGTCCTGAGCAATTTTTTAAAAACTTATTACCAGGCTTTTCATATTTTTAGGCAAATCGAAAATCGTGACCCTTTTCCCATAAAAAGGATCTTACCAGGTCTTGGGTATCAAATGTAAACTGAAATGAGTTTCATATACTTGTGTTGTAACCGGTGACCCTCCAGATTGTGTCGTTTGTTCTAAGAGGATTTTAGTTTAGTCTCTGATTTTCGGCATGAGCAATCCTATCACTTGGTGGGGGGATCACGCGTGCATACATGCGCTTTGTGACTTCTGTATAAAATATGTACACCTTGTATAACACACGTATAACCTGCGCATAAACTGCTGGGATACAATCACCTTGTCTGTTGGGGTGTCAATAAATGACCTACCTAGGCACGACCTGAGTGGTGGGCAGGTGAAGATCAAAATATTATCGTCATTGCTAAAGAGCCCATGTGAAGAGTGTGGGTGTCCCCTGCAGGCCATGGGCTGCCAGCCAGGAGTGCCGCCACCGGACAGACACACCCACCTGGATGTGTGCAGCGGTGCTTCCGTGGGCAGATTCCCCCTATGGAGATAAGAAGTAGGCAAGTTGAACAAATTTAACAAGTTAAAGCAGAGAGAAATAGGCTTAATGCCTTCATTGACTTGCCAGCCGTGTGAGTCCTTCCTTCTCCGGGGCTGGGG